CCTGCCAGCCCTTCCACCCTCGGCCAGAGCTGCGCACACTTTTTGGGCTTGGGATCATCAAAGTCATTGCAGACACAGAGCTTTTGTTTATGTGGGTTCTTTTTTTTTTTTTTTTAAGATTTATTTATTTTGAGAGACAGAGAGATACACAGAGTCCTTCTTTTCACCAGATCACTCCCCAGAAGGCTGCAATAGCCAGAGCTGGGTCAGGCTGGAGCCAAGAGCCAGAAACTTCTTCCCGGTCTCCCATGTGGGTGGCAGGGGCCCACCATCTGCTTTCTCAGGCCGTAGCAGAGAGCTAGATCAGAAGTGGAGCAGCCGGGACACAAACCGGCCCCCATATGGGATGCCGGCACTGCCAGCGGCTTTACCCGCTATGCCACAGCGCTCGCTTTCCATCCAGCTCCCTGCTAATGTGCCTGGGAAGGTAGCAGAAGATGGCCCAAGTGCTTGGGCCCCTGCCACCCATGTGGGAGACCAGATGGAGCTCCAGGCTCCTGGCTTTGGCCCAGCCCAGCTCTGGCTGTTAGCGCCATTTGGGGAGTGAACTAGTGGATGGAAGATCTCCCTCTCTCTTCACTCTCTTTAACTGCCTCTCAAATAAATAAAATAAATCTGTTAAAAAAGAAAAGAGGGGCTGGCACTGTGGTGCAGTGGATTAAAGCCGCTGCCTGCAGCGCCAGCATCCCATATGGGCACCGGTTTGAATCCCGGCTGCTCCTCTTCCCGCCCAGCTCTCTGTCATGGCCTGGGAAAGCAGTGGAGGATGGCCCAAGTCCTTGGGCCCCTGCACCCACGTGGCAGACCTGGAGGAGGCTCCTGGCTCCTGGCTTTGGATTAGTTCAGCTCTGGCCATTGCAGTCATTTGAGGAGTGACCTAGCGGGTGGAAGACTTTCTCTCTCTGGCTCTGCCTCACTCTATAACTGTCTGTCAAATAAATAAAATAAATCTTTTTTTAAAAAAAAAAAGAAAGAAAAGAACATGCAGCGCACGCCCAGTCCCCTTCAGCTCCAGCAGTACCCCCCCACCCCCGTCCATCCATGATAGAGTCTAGGAGATTCCACAGACGCTCCTGGGGGAGTGGGGAAAGCAGCCTGCAGGCTTGTTGTGGGAGCATCTTGAGGCCCCTCGAGTCCCTGGACCTGACTCTGCCAGCACTGCTGCGGGTGACCCACGCGCCAGGTAGGATGGCCACTGGACAGGCCCCGAGGTGACAGGCGGGGGACTGATGACCCTGGGGGCTCTGAGAGTGGTCAGGGCCCAGCACTGTTGCCTGTGACGACTCTGGCTGTCGCCAGGGGAAGTGAAGAAGTGCCCCCTCCATGGCCCTTCCTCCTGCTTCTGGGGGAGCGTCTTTGTGTCCACTCTTGGCCCCGGACACCCACCCGGTGTCTCTGGGCTGGGAGAGGCACCCGTGCCACATACCACAGAGTGTCAGACAGTTGACGACTAAGAATAGAGCAGGGAACCTGCCCACGAGGTCAGTGCGACCTTCAGGAGTGGCGGGGGGGCCGGGGCCAGCCGGCGGCAGGTGAGTGAGGGAAGTGGCAGGTGTTGGACACTTATTCTAGAAGCTTGCGGTGGGGCAGAGTGGGGGCAGGGCCTGGCAGGCAGGGAGCATAGGCCCTGCCTGCCAGCAGTCCTCTGTTTGCTGCAGGGGCACACTGGCTGCGAGGGGCAAGAGGGGGTCTTTCCAGGGTGGGGGGACGTTCTGCGCTTCCGCTGGGTTGGTGGTTCCCAGGGTCTCTGCTTTCCAATCTCTAAACAAGACTAAAAACCAGAGCACTCCCCAGAAGTGCCAGTAGGGGGCGAGAAAGCGCTGCGGCTCAGAGGCCGTGGTTCAAGTTTTCAGTGTGAAAGGTGAGGTTTTTTACAGCGCCCAGAAGGGCGCCATGAAGGCGGAGTTGCTTTTTACAATGCTGGGGCACGGGGTGGCTCCCCACCCCCACGTTTCTGGACCCTGCTTGCCGCCGGAGGACAGGAAGGAATCTTTGCTGAAGGCCCCGGCCAGAGGGCGCAGCACTCCCGTCCCATGCTGGGGCCCACTGCTTCCCCGTTCTCACCAAGGGAAACTGAGGCTTCAAGAAGGGAGTCACCAGCCCGGGCAGAGCTGCGCTGCCCACACCTCCGTGTGTGGACCCGCACGGTACCCGCCACACCTCTCTTTTTTTCATTCATTTTTCAAAAAAAAAAAATGTTTGTTTACTGATTTGAAGGGCACAGAGAGAGGGAGATCATCCATCCGCTGGTTCTCTCCCCGAATGGCCAAGCTAAAGCCAGGACCAGGAATGCATCAGGGTTCCCGGCGTGGGTGGCAGGGCCAGCAGGTGCACCCCAGTGCAGTTCATATATCCAGGGACAGTCTGAGCCCTGGAGACCCGCTCACATCTCCATGAGAAAGATGGGGCGGCTCCAAACCTGCACAGCCGGAAAGCGCAGGGTGCACACAGGCACCTGTGGGGGGGACCACACCCATCCACTTCTGGTTCTCGAACTTCCCCTCCGATTTCAGATAAGCCGCCTCCCACCACCTCAGTAGCTCACAGGATGCCTCCGGCCTCAAGTCTGTGTCCTGGCCAAGTGCTGAACCACTTGCAGTCTGTAGCTCCCACGGTGCTTCTGCACCTGAACGCACTTGTGTCTCTTAAAAATAAAATGTTTAGGGGCCAGCCAGCATTGTGATGCAGTGGGTTAAGCCGCTGCCTGTGCTGCCAGAGCCTCCTATATGGGCACTGGTTGGAATCCCGGCTGCTCCACTTCCAATCGAGCTCCCTGCTAATGTGCCTGGGAGGGCAGTGGAGGATGGCCCAGATGCTTGGGCCCCTGCACCCATGTGGGAGACCTGGAAGAAGCTCCTGGCTCTTGGCTCAGCCTAGTCTAGCCCTGGCCATTGCAGCCATTTGGGGAGTGAACCAGTGGATGGAGGACCTCTCTCTCTCTGTGTACACTGTCTCTGTCTGTCTCTCTGTCACTTGGCCTTTCAAATAAAATAAATCTTAAAAAATTTTCTCTTGTCTTCATCTTATTTGAAAGGTGGGGTGGGGGAGAGAGGGAGAGACGGAGAGAGAGAGATCTTCCATCCAGTGCTCACTCCCCAAATACCTTGCTGTAAGCCAGGAGGCCTGAATTCAGTTGGGTCTCCCACGTGGGTGGCAGGAACCCAAGTACTTGGCCATCGTCTGCTGCCTCCCAAGGTGCCTTAGCGAGAGGCTGGATTGGAAGTGGAGCAGCCGGGACGCAGCCAAGCACTCCCCTATGGCATGCAGATGTCCCCCGCAGTGACTTAACCACTTCACCAAACGGCTACCTCCTCTTTTTTAAAAAAAGAATTTTTTTTTTTTTTTTTTTTTTTGACAGGCAGAGTGGACAGTGAGAGAGAGAGACAGAGAGAAAGGTCTTCCTTTGCCGTTGGTTCACCCTCCAATGGCCGCCGCGGCAGGCGCACTGCGGCCGGCGCACCGCGCTGATCCGATGGCAGGAGCCAGGAGCCAGGTGCTTCTCCTGGTCTCCCATGGGGTGCAGGGCCCAAGCACCTGGGCCATCCTCCACTGCACTCCCTGGCCACAGCAGAGGGCTGGCCTGGAAGAGGGGCAACCGGGACAGAATCCGGCACCCCGACCGGGACTAGAACCCGGTGTGCCGGCGCCGCTAGGCGGAGGATTAGCCTAGTGAGCCGCGGCGCCGGCCAAGAAATTTTTTTAATTTTAATTTTATTTATCTGAAACACAGAGGAATTCCATCTAAGTCTCCCACAAGGGTCCCAAGCACTTGGGCCATCCTCCACTGCCCTCCCAGGTGCATTAGCAGGGAGCTGGATCGGAAGTGGAGCAGCCACGACTTGAACGGGCGCCCCTTCAGGACACTGGCATCGCAGGCAGTGGCTCACCCTGCTGCACTGTCGCGCCGGCCTTGGAAAGTTGACTTCTCATGCCATTAAGCATTTGTGCAAATTTTGGAACTTCATCTAAATGGAATCGGCCGGCAAGCCTCCTTCTGCGTCTGGTCTGTGGCCTGCGTGGTGCGTGGGAGATCCCACGTGCAGTGCGTGTGGCAGTGGCGCGCCCTCTGTCCTTGCTGGCTGCTTCACAGAGCACCGTGTCTGAGCTTCCTCGTGTGTCCATGTTTCAGGCCATCAGGAAGGTTCTAGTTTGTGATGTTTTTGTTATGAATGGCGCAGCTCTGAACGCCCGAGTGCGTGGCCAACAGAGGGTGGCCCCTGGTGAGGTGCACACGGAGGAGGGGACCTGCGGGCTCCTGGGGCCGGCAGGTGCCGACGTCCTAAGGTGTCGCCAGCTGCTTTCCAAGGTCACTGCATCAGTCCGGCCCCGGCAGGGCGTGGGGGCTCCTTAGCCTCGTGTCCTCACCGCCACCTGCCGGCTAATGGTGGCCTTCCCCGTGGTGTCAGTGAGGTTCTGATTTGCATTTCCTTGATAGTTTGCTGTTGCTACCGGGACAAATTACCACAAGCGTGGTGTTGGTTGTGACACCTCGCGCATCGTCTGCGCCATGCCACTGTGTCCTTGTGAGAGAGTGAGAGTGAACATGTCTCAGTGTTGTTAGGACGAGAGTTTGCGACTCAGGGGCTCCCTACACAGCTTGGGCGACCACAGGGGTCTCAAGGGCTCTTTTCACCCTCAGAGCCTTGGGATCGTGGGAATTTAAAGTCTTTTTTAAAAAAAGATTTATTTATTTGAAAGGCAGTTACAGAGAGAGAGATTTTCCAACTGCTGGGTCACTCCCCAAATGCTGACAACAGGCAGAGCTGGGTCAAGGCAAAGCCAGCAGCCAGGTCCTTGGGTCTCGCATGTGGGTGGCAGGGGTCCGAGTCCTTGGGCCGCCCTCCCCTGTTCCCAGGGGCGTTAGCGGGACGCTGGCTTGGAAGCGGAGTAGCTGGGACTCACACTGGCGCTCCTGAGTGAGTGTGTTGGAGGTGGCAGCTTAATCTACTGAGAATTTGAAAAAAAAAAAAATGACTTCCTATCTATCTTTTTTCTTGCAGAGAAATATAACAGAGTGATCACTAAAATATTTTTGACCACAAAAGGTAAAACATTAGGTTAAAAAATGGGTGGCAGGGAGGGAAGTGGAACAGAAATACGAGTTCAAAGAACGCAGTCACTTGCCTCGTGTTCACACAGAGATCTCGCGTTTTTCACATGGGTGATGGTAGCGCTGAAATCATGTTATTTAAAGTGTGTCGGCTACACTGTCAAAGGCAGTATATAACTGTTGCTTTTTTAAAATGTTAGTTGTTGTGGAAATTGTATCCTTTGCAACTACTTAGGCTCGGGAAATTTTACATTGTAAATGTGAGATTGGGGGCCGGCGCCGCGGCTCACTAGGCTAATCCTCCGCCTAGCGGTGCCGGCACACCGGGTTCTAGTCCCGGTCGGGGCGCCGGATTCTGTCCCGGTTGCCCCTCTTCCAGGCCAGCCCTCTGCTGTGGCCAGGGAGTGCAGTGGAGGATGGCCCAGGTGCTTGGGCCCTGCACCCCATGGGAGACCAGGAAAAGCACCTGGCTCCTGGCTCCTGCCATCGGATCAGCGCGGTGCGCCGGCCGCAGCGCGCTGGCCGCGGCGGCCATTGGAGGGTGAACCAACGGCAAAAGGAAGACCTTTCTCTCTGTCTCTCTCTCTCTCACTGTCCACTCTGCCTGTCCAAAAAAAATAAAAAAAAAAAAAAAAGAGAAAAAAGTAAATGTGAGATTGGCAGGACAAGTACATAATTTTACTCAGAATCCTTTTATGGGAACAAAAAAAAAAAAAAGCAGGCAGGCTGGCTCACATCGCCAGTCACTGGCCGAGGAGTCAGGGTGGGGGTTGCCCAGCCCCGGAGGGTCTTGGGGGTTTCTTATCCTAAAACTGGGCTCCGTGGTGGGCGTCTAGCTGTGAGGTGCCCGCCCCGCCCCGCTGTCCGTGCGGCTCGGCTGGGCTCCCGCTACCCCCTTCCTCCCCAGATGACGCGCCACGGCAAGAACTGCACCGCAGGGGCCGTGTACACGTACCACGAGAAGAAGAAGGACACAGGTACGGGCGGCTGGGCGCACGTGCAGGCCCAGGGCTCGACACGAGTGGGCACAGCCCCTGGCCGACCCCTCGCCATCCCCGCGCCTCACCCCGCCGTCCCCGCGCCCATGTCTGTCCCCAGCGGCCTCAGGCTACGGGACCCAGAACATTCGACTGAGCCGGGACGCGGTGAAGGATTTTGACTGCTGCTGCCTGTCTCTGCAGCCCTGCCATGATCCTGTCGTCACGTGAGCTGCAGACGGGGCGGGCGGGGGCTGCAAGGGGACAGCGCCCAGGGGCCCTGCTCCTTGGCCCTCGCGGGGGGGGGGGGGATGTGTCTGCAGGGGGGGCGGAGGGCGCTGGAGCACGCCTGGCCCCCAGCGAGCACACGGCACTGCCTGCCGCTGGCGTGCCGGCACGGAGCTCGATGAGACGCTGGGGTAGCGGCGTGTCCCACAGGAGCGTGATGAGAGCAGATGGCTCCTCGCGTCCCCAGCCACTGACCGCTGCTTAAGGTGGACCCAGATTGAAATCAACAGCGGGAAAGGAGCGCGCGGGGCTGAGTGAGGAGACCCGGGCCGGAGCCTCCGCGGCTCCTCCCAGCGCAGTCGCGTGGCTGCTGGCTTCTGCAGCCCCAGAGACGCGCACCCCGGCCTCGGCGCCCAGGTCCCAGGGGACCGGCTGACCGCCGCATGGCCGGCCTTCCTCTCCGGTCACCCAAGGGACAGGACATTCCAGGGCCTTCGAGGGCCGTGCCCAGGGTTCCGCAGCCCAGGCCTGCGAGGGAGCCCTTGGCTGCCCTGCCGTGCTCGTCGGCGGTGCCCGGGCAGGGAGCTGACCCCGAGCCCCTGCCTGTGCGCCTGGGCCAGGGCCGGGCTCTCCTCATCCCGCCTTCCCTTGGCAGCCCCGACGGCTACCTGTATGAGCGTGAGGCCATCCTGGAGTACATCCTGCACCAGAAGAAGGAGATCGCCCGGCAGATGAAGGTGAGGGGGGCGGCTCCGATGCTGAGCGTCCCGCGCCCTCCCATCTCGGTTCCTCTTCCGCCGGGGCCTTTGCCGGGCTGTTCCCCTCCCACTTCCCCTGGTTGATTTCAGCTGCTGCGTCCAGGGCCCCCAGGGCCTGCCCTAGTCACCATCCCTCCTCCCTCCCTCGGGCTGTGTCACAGCAGTACCTGCTTGGGGCTGTCTGACGGGCTCCACCCCAGGGGCGGGGCCGAGTGTTGCCCACCTTGCAGTCCTAGGCCCCTGGCAAAGACTTGCTGGATGAGTGGCCCTGTCTTCATTTCTCTGGGCCTCAGTTTTAGCATCTGTGAAATGGGCTCCCGGGGCCACATTAGAAGGCACTGCAGGGCACGTGGGAGATGCACACAGCAAGAATTCCCGAGGTGTTTACTCAGAGCCAGGCCCGGCCTCCAAGGACGAACCATCTGCATTTTGAGACCCACTCCTCTAAGAAGTCTTTGAAAGAAGTGGGAGTTAGGGAGACGGCCCGGGGGGTTCACCAAAGCACTCTTAGCTTGAATTCTGTGCACAAAGTTTTCCCGGCACCCGCACAGACATGCACTCAGCACTCAGCACTCAACAGGCAGGGCGCCTCCGCCACTGTGAGCCCATTTCGCAGAGGGAGAAGCCGAGGCTGGGAGAGTTCCCCCGCGGCCGCGGCCGGCGCAGAGGTGACGGAGTCGGGGCTTCCGCCCTGGCACTCTGGCTCTAGGGCACGACGCGCAGTCCCGGACTAGCCCAGCGAGGAGTGCCTGGCGTCCTGCAGTAGGGGAGGAGGCACAGATTCCCCATCCCCCCGCAGTGCCTCAGCTGCCTTCCCTGAGCGGCCCCGCCCTGGGGAACTGGGGAGTCTGCAGCCCCCAGCCCGCGCCGGGGCGTCCTGGGCCTCAGCCTCTCGCGCCCTCGCCCCGCCCGCAGGCCTACGAGAAGCAGCGGGGCGCCCAGCGGGAGGAGCAGCGGCAGCTGCGGCGCGCTGCAGCGCAGGACCAAGTGCGGGGCTTCCTGGAGAAGGAGGCGGCCATCGTGAGCCGGCCCCTCAACCCCTTCACGTCCAAGGCCGCCGCGGGGCCCGGCGCAGGTGGCAGGGAGTGGGCTGGCGGGCGGGAGGAGCCCGAGCCCGCGCTTCCCCGAGCCGGCACCCGAGCCCCCGCTTTCCCACAGAGAATGCACAAGCGGGGCCCAGCGAGGGGCCCCCGGGCCAGGACAAGGAGAAGGCGCTGCCCAGCTTCTGGGTCCCGTCCCTGACCCCCGAGGCCAAGGCCACGAAGCTGGAGAAGCCGGTGAGAGGGGCCGCCCCTCGGTGTCCCCGCGCCCGCGCGTCCCCGCACCTCATCCGCCGCGCCCTGACCCGACCTCCCCGCCCGCAGTCCCGCACCGTGACCTGCCCCATGTCGGGGAAGCCGCTGCGCATGTCCGACCTGACACCCGTGCGCTTCACGCTGCTGGACGACTCGGTGGACCGCGTGGGGCTCATCACGCGCAGCGAGCGCTACGTGTGCGCCGTGACCCGCGACAGCCTGAGCAACGCGACGCCGTGCGCCGTGCTGCGGCCCTCGTGAGCCCGGGGAGCCGGGGAGCCCGGGCCGGGCGAGGGGCGTGGCGGGGGGCCGGCGGGGCCCTGACCTGCGACCCCGCCCCGCCCCGTCCCGCAGGGGGGCCGTGGTCACGCTGGAGTGCGTGGAGAAGCTGATTCGGAAGGACATGGTGGACCCCGTGAACGGAGACCGGCTCACCGAGCGTGACATCATCGTGCTGCAGCGGGTGGGCTGCCCCGCCCCCTCTCAAGACTCCGCCCTCCCGCCCGGGCCCCGCCCCTGCCCCAGGCTCCGCCCTCCCGCCGCCTCTCCACAGGCCCCGCCCCTGCCCCGGCCGCCCCTTCTGACGGAGACCTGTCCGCAGCGATCCCCCCCAGTCATCTCGACCTGCGTAGGACCCTCCCCGCCCCGCCCCGCCGCGCCCTCACCCCGCTGTCTCCCTTCCCAGGGCGGCACCGGCTTCGCGGGCTCCGGGGTGAAGCTGCAGGCGGAGAAGTCGCGGCCGGTGATGCAGGCCTGAGTGCGAGGGGAGACCCACGAATAAACGGCTGGGAGCGCAGTCGCGCGTGGCGCCTTTCTTCGCGGGCGGGGCCCGAGGAGGGGCCGGGATGCCCGGGTGCTCCCGCGGAGTCTGACCCCAAGGCGGACGCACGGCGTTGACCCCCGGGGGGAGCGGCCAGGCAGAAACCCACCCTGACCTCCGCCAGGACCCCGAGGCTGGCCGAGCCCGGGCACCCGAGATGCCCCGGGAGATACGCAGCTCTGGCCGGGCACCCCTCCCGCGTGTCCGTCTCCCCCGCTCCCCACACGCCCCTCGCGGGCCCCAGCAAGCCCCCGCCCACCGCTTTGTACCCAGTGCCCACGTCCCCCCCCCCCCCCCCCCCGTGTTCCTGAGCATTCCCGGCCACAGGCTTTCCCGAGACCCCTCACCCACGCGAGTCCTTGCCCAGCCCCGAGAGCCGCAGCCGCGTTCACGCGTGGCACAGGCCGCCCCCTCTCTACCCCACCTGGACACGAACGGTCCTCCCGGCATGGCCTGGCTGTCCCCCCCCCCCACGTAACTCCCACGCCTTTATTGGAAACAGCGGCCTTTGCTGGCCGCGAGGCGGGGCAGGGTCTGCTCGGAAAATAGGTCTGCTGTGGTCGGAGGCCGCGGCGTGACCAGGAGAGGAAGCGAGAGTGAAACGCAGCGCCGGGTGCGGCGGGCGCGCTCCGCACAGCCCACTGCCCCAGCGGCAGCCGATGGCATGCGAGGGAGTCGGGAGGTGTGGGGTCGCCTAAGAAGGAGATTCAGCCTGCCGGCGCCTGCCGTGCCGACATCCCATATGGGTGTCAGTTCGAGTCCCGAGCTGCTCCACTTCCCATCCAGCTCCCTGCACCCGCGTGGGAGACCTGGAAGAAGCTCCTGCCTCCTGGCTTCAGATTGGAGCAGCCCTGGCCATTACGGCCAACTGGGGAGTGAACCAGCGGATGAAGACCGCTCGCTGTCTGCCTCTCCTCTCTGTGTGACTTTGACTTTCAAATAAATCTTTTCAAAAAAAGGGGGGGGGGTGGATTCCGTCTGGAAAGGCAGACTGTAGGACCCGCAACGGATCCTTGGTGGCCCTGGAGGTGTGCGCGGTGCGGTAGAGGACGGGGAGGGGCCCTGCTGGGTGTCCTCAGAGCTGGGTCCCAACTGCTAATGCGCCTGGGAAAGCAGCAGAGGGTGGCCCACGTTCTTGGACCCCTGAAGACTGGGATGGAGCCCCAGGCTTCTGACTTCAGCCTGGCCCAGCCGTGGCCACACCAGCAGATGGAAATCTCTATAGCTCCACTTTTCAAATCAGTCTTAGGAGAAAAAAAAAAAAATGCCTCGCGTGGGGTGCAACTCGGGTACTCTCCCGCGTAGTTCTCGGCGCCAGCCGCTAGGGGGCGCTTGCGGAAGCCTGGAGTCGCACGCTGGGATTGCAGGCCCAGCACTGCCGCGGGGCCGCGGAGACTCCGGGAATTCGAACAATTCCGGAAGGGCGGGCACTGGAAGCGGCGGGACACTCAGAGGGGGCGGGGTGGGGCGCCGGGCGCAGGTCCAGGCCCCCCCTCCCCAGGAGCCGCGGCGACAAAGTGGAGCCACGAGGCCTGGGTAAGAGACCGGGACGGGAGGTACCCATTTATTTATAGAAAGTCTGCTCAAATAGCTACTGCCCCTGAACCACTCGGGGGGACCCCAAGAAGCCCAGCTAAACCTGAAAAAAAAAAATAACAAAAACCTGAAGTCAGGAAGGTCAGACTTCACAGTTCAGGGTCAAACAGATGACTGGACACACACGGGGACGACTCGGCCGTCTGGTCTGAACCCCTCTGGGAGCAGCCCGCATACCAGGTGACCCCCAAGCCCCCAGCCACGGGGGCTCCCCTCCAGGCTCAGCCTCGCCTGACTGCCAGTCCCCTGCGCTGGTGTAGCCTGTTCCTGGCCGGTGCTGGTGGGGCGTGTGTGGAGGGGGTGACATCCTCCTGCCTCAGGGCCTTTGCACAGGCCCTCCCACAGCGCTGTCACCCGGGGTTGCTCGAGCTGCGTCTCCGCTTCCCCTCAGAGCGCAGGGCTGGGCCCCTGCACAGGCCTTGCCCCTCCCAGGAGACCGACGCAGAGCTGAGGCCCCGCATGGATTTTATTGTCCGTGGCCAGGGGAGTCCCGTGGTCCGTGCGCTGGAGGCTGGGGGTTGGTGGACGCTCTCCTAGGCCGGGCTCGGGGTGAGCGGGCCTGGGTCTGCACTGGATGAAGATCGGGGTCACTCGCCCCGGGGTTCTCTGAGGGCCCCTGAGGTCGGATGGGAGGCAGAGACGCAGCCCCGGGGGTCCCTGGCAGCCAGGGGGCAGCAGCGGCATCCCGCAGGGCCGAAACGGGGAGGGGCCGGTCCTCAGGGGCCCTCAGAGCTCGTCGTGGTGCCGGGTCAGGTCCTCGCCGTAGTTGGTGGCCTGGCTGCCCACGAACATGTTCCAGTTGCCCAGGATCTCGGCTTTGCTCAGACGCCCGTCCTGGAGGGAGGGGCCCGGTCAGCCAGGACCGCTTGGGGAGACCCCTGCCCAGCACTCCCCCCGGCCCGGATCAGCCAGGACCGCTTGGGGAGACCAATGCCCAGCACTCCACCCGGCCCGGGTCAGCCAGGACTGCTTGGGAAGACCCCCACCCAGGTCCCCCACTCCGGGTCAGCCAGGAGGGCGCGGCGAGACCCCTGCCCAGGTCCCCCACCCCGGGTCAGCCAGGACGGCGCGGCGAGACCCCAGCCCCGCCCCCGCCTCACAGGAGCCCGGAGCCCCCCGCGGCACCTTGTCCGTGTCGCTCTCATGCAGCAGGTGGTTGGCCTCTACCAGCGGCTGGTCCTGGGCGGGGGGCAGCACCCAGTGGCCCACCTCACTGCCGTCCAGCTTCCCATCCTGGTTCAGGTCCCGGAAGTCCCGGAACTGCTGCCGCTCCGTCTGCACCCAGGCCGGCTCCTCCTCCCCGGGCTCCGCGGAGTACAGATCCGCTGGGCGCGGACCGGGAGGGGCCAAGGTCAGGGCCGGGGTCCAGCCACAGCCCCCACCTGGGCGGCTCCCCTGGCTGTCTTGGCCCCTTTTTCTGACTCAGAACCCAACTTCCAGGCGGTGCAGGCGGAACGCAGCCGGGACCCAATGGTGCCCCCTATGGGATGCAGGCGTCCCCGGCGGTGGCTTGAGCTGCGCCACAGAGCTAGTCCCGAATAAGTAATTCTTATAAAAAATGTTTTTAAATAAAAAAGCATGGAGACATGGGGCAGCCGTGGGTGCCTGGGTCGTCCTGGGCAGGACCCTCGGCCTCTAAAAGCCTCTCTGGGCACTGCCGGCCGACCCTGGTGGGCAGCCACGCCGGGGAGCAGCCTGGGGCGGGGCGGGGCCCTCAAGGCGGCTCAGCTGCAGGCCAGCGAGTCCTTGCAGGGATTCAGGGCCTTTGCGCTGGCCTTGCTGGGCCTGGAGCGCTGCCCCACACCTGCCGCCCCTCCTCGGTCCTCCCACCCCACCCCCCGCTCGCGCTCCCACAGGCCCGGCTCAGAGGGAGCAGGTGTCCCAAGACTTTGCTTAATGGGGGGGTGGGGTGGGGGTGTATTACAGTATCCACCAATTCACTGGTTACCGTATTTCACTGAGTACTTCCCCCTGTTTGCAGCCTGTGGTTTGGGCCATGCCTTATAGGAAAGGCTTAGCGTAACTTGCGACTTTTGGCTTTTCCCCGACTGATCTAATAGTCGGTGTCTCACAAATGTTGGCGTATTAGAGGCCACAGCACAGTCTCATCATCATCTTCCAGGCTCCCCGTGTGTCTGGATGCGCACTCCCGGGCCCCTGAGCTTGGCCTGTCCCTCCCCGGCCACCTGTGTCTTCATGCACTGACCATGGCCTGCCCCAGCTCCTTCCCTGGCTCACAGCCGTCCCTGGGGTGCCGGGACCCGCAGGAGAGGACACAAGCCCAGGCCGGGCCGAGGGCTGCGCCCCTCCTGTTGGGGCGGCCACTGCGGGGGGAGCGGGCCCACTCACCGATGTACTCCTCCACCTGAACAAAGCCGTCTCTGTTCTTGTCCAGGTCCTCCAGCGTCTCCTGGGGTGGGGGGGAGGGGTCAGAGCCCGTGGGGAATGAGCTGGGCGGGGTGTGGCTGCAGGGGCCGGCCTCGGAGACAGGGGCGTGAGCTGGAGCCAGGGGCCCCTGCGTCCAGCAGTGCACAGGTCCAGTCCCCCAGGGCCAGCTGTCCTGGGGGCACGCTCTTGAAGGGGAGCAAGCCCTTCAGCTGGGCGGGACCCCCACCCCCTCTGCTCTGGGCAGGACCCCCACCCCCTCTGCTCTGGGCGGGACCCCCACCCCACTCTGCTCTGGGCGTGGACCCGTGCGGCTGTGAGCCCGGTGGGGAGAGATTTCACCCTGGGGCTCGGCAGGGGGCATGGGAGAGCAGACGCTGCCCGGCTTCGGGGGACGGGGACGGCGTGGCCAAGGACACTCACGGCGACCACGATGTCGCGCATGTGCGGGAACTCCTCGGGGTGCAGGAAGGCCGTCAGCTCCTCCCGCGTGGCCATGGAGTCGCCGTCCTGGTCCGCCACCCGGAAGCGGCGCTCGTCCCGAGCCAGCATCTTCTTGTAGGTCTCGGCGTCCTCCACGTCGTGGAACTCCTCGCCTGGGGGAGGGAGAGGGCTGGGCCCGATGAGCGCCCCGCGGGGGTCCCAGGCGGCTCCACACAAGGGCACGAGCCGAGTCCCTAACCAGCTAATACTCAGGCAACAGTTCACAGACACGAGGGGGCGTCAGCAAGTCCGTGGGGAACGTGGATTATGAACAAATGGCTTTCAAAAACGTTTGCACCCGAATAAACTTGGGTTTTGAAATATTATTTAGTGTATTGGAAAGGCAGAGAGAATCTCCCATCATGCTTTGCTCCTCAGTGCCTGCGGAAGCCAGGAGCCTGGGGCCCGGCCCAGGTCGCCCCATGAGCGGCAGGGACCCAGGCCCGTGGGCCGTCCCCTGCAGCCCCCCAGGGTGCCCCAGTAGGAAGCTGGGGCTGCACTTGGAGCGGGGAAGGCAGGAGCCCAAGAAACACCTTCGCCCCGCCCCATAACTGTACAGGAGCTGACGCTGCCCGGCGACCTCAGGATGTCCAGCGTTCTCTGCGCGGACTTGCAGTGAGCGCTTAGGGCGCACCCCAGTGTGTTTCATGCGCACAGGAAGTTCTTTCGGCACCAGGAGAAGGGAGATGTGGCTGGGGTGGGCTCGGGCTGCCCCCCCCCGGCCCCTTCACTCCTAAGGTCCAGCAGTGTTTGCAGCCACAGGTGTGAGGGCGCGGCGGGCAAGATCCACCCGGGGAGCTGAGTCAGCCCGGGCGGGCACGGCAGGGCCGCGGGGAGTCGGGGCAGGGAGGCGGCTTTGGGGTTCGCAGAGGGCAGGGGTTAGGGAACGGGACGGGGCTCTGGCAGGGCTGGGGCAGCGGGGTACAGAGACCCAGGTCAAAGGTTAGGAGTCAGGTCGCGTGCGTGCGGGGAGCAGGGCCGGGCCCCGCGCGCGTACCGGGCGCGTAGTGGCCATAGGTGGCGTTGCGCAGCTCCTCCCAACCCACACGCCCGTCGCGGTCCGTGTCGTACGTGTCCCAGGCCGCGCTCACCGAGTCCCGTATGTGCCGCTGCTGCGTGTGCGCGATCCACGCGCGCAGCTCGGCCAGCGACACCCAGCCGTCCCCGTCGCCGGCGCGGTCCATGCGGTCCACGATCCGCCTGCGAGCCGGGGCGGGGCGCCCGTCAGTGCCGAACCGGCCCCGCCCCCGCTGAACCACGCCCCCGGCTCCGCCCCCGGCTCAGTCCCGCCAGGCTCCGCCCCGCGCGGCCACGGCCCCGGGCAGCCCCTCCGAGTAGGGCGAAAAACGCGGCCCGAGGTGGGCGGCCGCGCTGGAGGGGGCGGGTCTCGGGGCAGCGCAGGCCCCGCCTCTACCCCAGACTCCGCCCCCTGGGGAAGGACACTCGACCAATTGAGGGCCTCAACACCCCCTCCCGGGCCCCTCGGCCCCGGCCTGCCGGAGTTGGGAAGGGGGCCAGGAGCGGGACGTTCTCCCGCGGGGCGCTTGTTCCAAGACTGGCTCGGAACCGGGTCTCCGGCCGTCTCCGCCCCGCCCGCTGACCACGCCCCTCCAGCTGGCCCCGCCCCTCGGCCCAGCCGGCCCCGCCCCAGGACCGCGGCCCGCAGCCGCGCGGCTCGGCCTCTGGCTCCTTGCTCCCGCTCCGCCGGGATCCCGCGAATGTCCGGCCGCTTGGGTCCCCTAGCGGCGCCTGGCCGGGGGTCGTTCGGGCTCAGCCGCTGCACGTGGAGCCCTCCTCGCCTGCAGCCCTCCGCCTCTGGCCAGCAGCCCCGACGTGGGGTCCGAGGCTCGCCGGCCTGCGGGCTCTCCCCGGGTCTGCTCTTGCTCTGGACCGCCGTCCCCAAGCCCACACCGTCCCTCAGAGCTTTGGGCTGCATCGAGCGTGGGCTCCACAGCCCGACACCCTAAGTGCTGGCCGCTCTGTACCTCGTTAGCCCTCTGCAGTGGGCGGGCACACCCAGCAGGCCCTGCCCTGCCGGAGGCCCTCAGCACCCGCCTGGCCCCGCGGTCAGCGCTGGGCTAGCCTGTTGTCCTCTCCCTGCCCCCTGCCCACCGCTCCGCCTCCTGCCCACTCACCAAACCTTGCAGCCTGCTCCCCTGGCCGGCCACATCCCCGCTGGGCCCTGCCGCTGGCACCGACATCTGCCCCCTCTCTGCCCTCCCCCTGGCACTCGGGCCTTGCTGCCCCTCGGTCCCCCCACGCTGTGAATTCCTGCACCGCTCGCTCCCCGGCTGCCCCCCCTAAGGGACTCAACCTCCACTGCCCCCAGCACCACACTGCCAGGGATCCTCGCCTGATGGGGTCACTGCTGTGACTCCAGCACCCTAGGCGGGACGGGCCTCGGACCCTGTCCCATCCGCAGGGCATGGACAGGCCGCCCGTGCCTGGCCCCCTCTCAGTCCGGCTCCTGATGAGACTCAGGGCGCAGCCATTATCCTGCCCAGGCCGGCTTTCTGGCCTCATCCCATCTTGCCCATCAGTCTCCCTGGCCATTTAGGGAGCGGAAACTCAGGCCCGGGGTGGGGGTGGGGGGAGGTGTCCCCGACAAAGGAACAGGAGCAGCCTGGGGTTGGGATGGGACCCAGACTGTGTGACCTCAAGTTTTTCCCGCACCTGTCTTCCCCGAGGAGCGGAGGTGGCACCCTCGGTCCCAGCCGCCTCGCGTGCCCTCACCCAGAGCCCTCCGTCCCGCCAGCGCGCCCCTCTGCCTCCCCGCTCCCTCCGAACACGCCCCCTACCCCAGCCGCGCCTGGCTCTCCTCCGGGCTAAGCTGGTCGAATTCCTTGGCCACTTCCCGCCCCAGGAAGGCCTCGTGGTCGTATTGGAAGTTGCCGTGCGCGTCGTCGTGCGGGGCTTCGCTCAGGGGTGCCGCCTGGTGCACCCTGCCCTGGCCATGCGGGCCCGCGTCCGGGGGCGGCTTCGCCTGCGCCCCGCGCCTCAGCAGAACCAGGAGCAGCACAATCGTCGTCGGCCACATCATCGGTCCCTGGGGGGCGGTGCAGGCCAGGGCTGAGGGGTCTCGGGGAGGGGGCTGAGGTGGGCGGGACAGCGGGATTAGCCGGGAGGGCCGGAGTCGGGGAACAGGGCAGGGCGCTCGGAGGCGCAGCCCGCGGCAGAGTCCCAGAGAGGTCCCGAGCCGCAGGGGCAGACGTGGCGCGCGCCGCCCGCGACGTTCAGGGCCCCGTGGCGTCGCTCCCGTGCTGGACCCGACACCCGCACCCAGCCGCCACGAGCCGCCCTCCCAGGCCGGGCCCTGCCCCACGCCCTCCCCGTTACCCGGTCTCCAGCTCCGCGGCGCGCTCCACGCGGCGTTCTGCCCGTCTCGCCAAGATACCCAGTTTGGCCGCCGGCCAGCCGGGCCCCGCCCCCGGCCGCGCAGAGGCCCCGCCCCCCGACCAATGAGCGCCCCGGAGGGCCCCGAGGGGCGGGGCTGGGCACCCCTTGCCACGTCCTCAGCAGAGAGCGGGGTCGCCCACGCCGGACGTGGGGGGGGGGGGCGACGCGGCCGGGCCGAACTACGCGTCCCGGCAGGCTTCGGGGCGCCCTGCCGCCCACCCGCAGGGGCCCTGCCCCCAGAGCCTCATGGGAAATGTATTTCCCACCCCCCCTTTGTTAGGACGGCTTAAGGGGAGTGGGAGGAGGCAGCCATCATCGTCAGCAACAAGCACTCAGGACAGACTTCAGTAAAAGTATTACGTAAATATTTGTGAGTGGGAAATACATGCCTTGGAATACAAAAGTGGGTACATGTTAGACGGCAGAGCCAGGAGCCCCGGGCTTGCGCCCCCACCCCACTCCCTCGGCCTCCCCCGCCCCCCCAACTGGAGCACAAACAAGAGGATGGGGGCCCACACGGGTTACAGGCGGTGTGGACGTGGGGGCGGCGAGGCAGGCCCTGGGGCACGGGTCCAGGACTCCTGGAGGCTCAGAGAGGCCGGGATTCCAGGGGTCTCACAGCACGAGAGAGCTGGCTGCCTCGGCCGGCGACCAGCAGCCGGAACAGGGCGTCAGGCAGTGGCCGGGAAGGCGCTCACGTCCTGGGGGCCCTCGTCTTGGGGCAGGAGCGTTCTGATGTCGTCCCCACGGAGAAAGACCCAGGGGGCTAAGGAGAGGAGAAGGGGGCATCAGGCTCCCCGTCCGCGGGCACAGCTGCCTCCCGGCCTCCGCCCACCCACTCCGGGCCCCCCAGGGCTGAGCGCCCCCTCTCCCGGGGTCTCTTCCCACCCCCCCACCTGGCAGCCCACTCCGGGCCCCCAGGGCTGAGCGCCCCCTCTCCCAGAGTCTCCCCCCCTACCTGGCAGCCCGCTCCGGGCCCCCCAGGTCTGAGCGCCCCCTCTCCCAGGGTCTCCCCCCGACCTGGCAGCCTGCTCCGGGCCCCCCAGGTCTGAGCGCCCCCTCTCCCGGGGTCTCCCCCCGACCTGGCAGCCTGCTCCGGGCCCCCCAGGTCTGAGCGCCCCCTCTCCCGGGGTCTCCCCCCGACCTGGCAGCTTGCTCCGGGCCCCCCAGGTCTGAGCGCCCCCTCTCCCGGGGTCTCTTCCCGCCCCCCCCACCTGGCAGCCCGCTCCAGGCCCCCAGGCCTGAGCGCCCCCTCTCCCGGGGTCTCCCCCCGACCTGGCAGCCCGCTCCGGGCCCCCCAGGTCTGAGCGCCCCCTCTCCCGGGGTCTCCCCCCGACCTGGCAGCCCGCTCCGGGCCCCCCAGGTCTGAGCGCCCCCTCTCCCGGGGTCTCCCCCCCACCTGGCAGCCCGCTCCGGGCCCCCCAGGTCTGAGCGCCCCCTCTCCCGGGGTCTCTCCCCCACCTGGCAGCCCCCTCCTCCTCCTCCACGCCAGGGCAGCTCCCGCGGCCACGGCCACCAGCAGCAGGACGCCGACAACGATGCCCGCCACGGTCACCGAGGACTGGGCTGGCCAATCTGCACGGGAGAAGGCCGTGAGCTGCCTCGGGCAGCTGGGGTGCCCCCGGCCCTTCCCAAGCCCGGGCTGCGCGTGGCAGGGGAAGGGCCGGCGGGCGGTGTCCCAGTGCACGGGGCTGGGGCCGGGGAGGTGGGTCACGCGGGGCCAGCAGCAGACAAGGAGCGATCAGAGTGGGCGCAGGCCGGCGGCAGCAGGACGGCAGGCAGGCGGGCGCAGGGAGGACCGGCCGCGGCGGGGCGGGCGGCAGCAAAGGCAGGGAGCCTGGGGCGGCAGGGAGCCTGGGGCGGCAGGAAGCCTGGGGCGGCAGGGCCTCGCTAGCAGGCGGCCACGCTCCCGCGGAGTGGCAGGAGCGCGCACGGGGCGTGGGGAGGAAGGCCAGCCTCGGGACCTCACCCAGCGCCACCGACAGCGGCTGCGGCAGCCCCGCGTGGCGCACCACGCAGCTGTAGCGGTACTCGTCGCCGCTGCGCACGGACAGCGAAGCCCAGGCGTAGAAGGAGCCGTCGCCGTTGGGGCCGAAGCCGCCCTCTCCGGAGCCGGCCGCCATCCCATTCCGGAGGAATCCGAACTGCAGCTCCGGCGGGTAGAAGGAGAAGGCGCTGCAGGTGAGCACGGAGAAGCCGGGAGAGCCGGGCCGGGCCTTCAGGCGCATGGAGGGCGGCTCTGCGGGACACGGGCCGGGCTCAGCGGCCGCTCGCGACCCCGGGCTCGGCCGGCCTGGGTGACAGACACCCACCAGGTGCACCCCAACCAGCCCTCCCCACAGGGGCTGAGCAGCTGCCACGTGCCAGGCGTGATTTCACACTTGTCCACCAATACAAGTCCAGGGCCCGGCACTGTGGAGCAGGAAGCCACAGCCTGTGACACCGGCATCCCACACGGGCGCCGGTTCGAGTCCCGGCGGCTCCACTTCCGGTCCAGCTCCCTGCTGTGGCCTGGGAAAGCAGCGGAAGATGGCCCAAGTGCGTGGGCCCTGCACCCTCCTGGGAGACCCATATAGGAGTTCTAGGCTCCTGGCTTTGGCATGGCCCAGCTCCAATTTGCGGCCGTTTGGGGAGTGAACCAGTGGATGGAATCTCTCTGTCTCTCCCTCTCTAACTCTGCCTTTCAAATAATCTTTTTAAAAGTTTTTTCCAGGTCTAGATGAGCTCAGTTAGTGAATTCTTCAGAACACTACAGACTAACTCTGCTCTTACACAAAACCTTTAGGAAGTAAAGAGACAACCTCCCAGCACATTTTATGAGGCCACAACGCCTCCCACGGACGCCACAAGGAAGGGAACTTAAGGCTAACGTCGCTCATGAAAACAGACCCAGGTCCGTAAACGCAGTATCAGCAGACGAAGTCACCATCCTACATAAAGGATAACACGGCATGACCAAGTCCAGTGTATCCCAGAAATGCAAGGTTGGTTTACAAGGGAAAACAAAACAAAAAACAAACAAACAAAAACTGCTGTGGCATAGTGGGTAAAACCACTGTGGATAAATTCCCATAGGGGGGCTGGTTCGAGTCCTGGCTGCTCCACTTCTGATCCAGCTCCCTGCTCATGAGCCTGGGAAAGCAGTGGAAGATGGTCCAAGTGCTTGGGCCCCTGCACCCACATGGGAGACCTGGAAGAAGCTCCTGGCTCCTGGCTTTGGATCAGCCCAGCTCTGGCCGTTGTGGCCATCTGGGGAGTGAACTAGCGGATGGAAGATGTCCCCCCACCTCCGTCTCTCTCTCTCTCCCTCTCTCTGACTACTCCACATCCCAAATAAACAAATAAAGGGAAAAAAGCAAATGCCACTGGGTAAGATTTACCGCTGCTCATGAAACCGACTCTCCTCTGCCAGCTGGGCGTTGGAGGGGTTCCTTTGACAATGGGGAGAACAACAAGAACCCTACAGCTCTTGTCACGTTTGATGTAAAATGCTGAGGGTCCCCCGTGGATCTGAGGATACAGTATCTCCACCATAACCACTTCTACTCAGTCCTTTACTGGGACTCCTAGCCAGTGCAGTAAAGCAAGGAAAGAAACAAAAGGCACTGAAATTGGAAAATACACAAAACTCGTCACAGATGATAGATCCCAAGAGGATCCATAAAGATTTGTCAGGAACAGACTCAGCCAAGTTTCCAGATACAGGCCCGCGTGTGAAAGGAGCAGTGGCTGTATGAACCAGCTACGAACAACTGGGGAGTGAAACTTTTAAAAATCGTTTACAGAAGCGTCAACATCCAGGACTTAGGAATAATCCTAAGTGACAACGTGCCAGCCTTGACATTGAATACTGACAGGAATTAAAGGACGCCAAAGAGGACAGGGGTGGGGGCGTCTGACCCAGCAGCTGAGCTCCCGTACCAGAAACGGGGGTGGGGGTGGGGCCTCCAGTCCTGCTCCCTGCTAATGCCTGGGAGGCAGCAGGTGAGGGCTCAAGTGCGGGGGTTCCTGCCACCCACGGGGGAGACCCGGATGGAGCTTGGGGCTCCTGGCTTCAGCCTGACCCGGCCCGGTTGATGCAGGCATCGGGGAGTGAGCAGAGGATGGGATGTATCTTGCTCGCTCGCTGCCCCCCCCCCATCTCTCTCTCTCTCTGTGTTTTTAAAGTCAATCAATAAAAATCAAAACAAAACTTGGGGCATGTGTCTGGCCCAGCGGCTAAGACGCTTGCGTCCCACTCGGGCTGTCTCTCCCCATCGCAGCTTCGTGCGAGTGCACGTCCTGGGAGGCCTGGGCTGACTTCCGGCTCCTGGCTTTGGCGGGCCCAGCCCTGGCCATTGTGGGAATCTGGGGAGTGGACCAGCGGGCGGAAACTCCCTGCCTGATCAGTACCTACATCTCGGGAAAGCCCCGCTGTGTCGGCACTGAGCCTGCACACAGTTTTGTCTTGTCGTACACCCTACACGGCACAGAACGACTCTACCCGCCTTCACCCTCTCGGAGGTGTCCGGTCGCCTGGAGATGCTGTAGAGCATCCCGGAGCCGGGCACGGACTCTACACAGACGCCAAGCCGTCCTAGTGAGGGGCCCGGGCGTCTGCACATGCGGCGTCCTGCCCGGGGTCTGCACTGCGCCCCGTGGTGGATTAGACGACCCGGTGTTGTTCAGATGTCAGATCGTCCACGGGGATCTGTACACCCCATCCGATCACAGTCAAAGTCCAGCAGGATTCTTTTGAGGGGTGGAAATTGACGAGTCGATTCTAACGCTAAAGAAACGCTGGGGGTCAGCGCTGTGGCGCAGCAGGTAAAGCCACCGCCTGCAGTGCCGGCATCCCACGTGGGCGCCATGGAGCGCTGGCTGCTCCACTTCCGATCCGGCTCTCTGTATGGCCTGGGAAAGCAGTAGAAGATGGCCCAGGTCCTTGGGCCCCTGCACCCATGTGGGAGACCCAGAAGAAGATCCTGGCCCCTGGTTTCAGATCAGCGCAGCTCTGGCCATTGTGACCAATTGGGGAGTGAACCAGCGGGTGGAAGACCTCTCTCTCTCTCTCTCTCTCTCTCTCTCCCTCTCTCCCTCTCTCCCCGCACTGCCTCTCCTCTCTAACTCTTTCAAATAAATAAATAAATAAATAAATAAATAAATAAATAAATAAATGCCAGTGGGGTCAGGGGAGAAGTGCGGATGAACGAGGGAGGGGCAGGGGAAAAGAGAGAGATCTGGCCCCCTTCGGCTTCCTCTTCTTAACAAACAAACAAAAGGCCAGGGCAGCATGGTGGTGTGTATCTCCTATCAGAGCTGGGCCAGCCCAGGTTGCCCTGCCTCCCACCCACCTCCCTGCTAACTCACTTGGGAAGGTGATGGGAATGGTGCAGGGATGAGGGAGACCTGGATGGAGTTTCTGGCTCCTGGCTTCCACCGGATCCAGACCCCGAGGCCGCCTGGGGATGCTGGCTCTGCAGGTGGTGGCTTTACCAGCTGCGCCACAGCACCGGCCCCCCAAATAAATAAATCTTTAAAAGGCGCGCAGAGGGGGGGGCTGGCATGGCGGTGCAGCAGGCTAAGCCACATCCTACATGCCGGCATCCCATATGAGCACCTGTTTAGGTCCCAGCTGCTCCACTTTGGATCTAGCTCCCTGCTAAGGACCTGAAAAATGCAGTGGAAGACGGCCCAAGTGCCCGGGTCTCTGCCACCCAGCTGGGAGACCCGGATGGAATTCCAGGCTCTGGGCTTCAGCCTGAAATTCCCTCTCTCTCTTCTCTGTAACTCTGGTAACTCTGCCTTTCAAATAAATTATATATATATATGTGTGTGTGTGTGTGTGTGTGTGTGTGTGTGTGTGTATATATATATATATATATATATGTATGTATAAAGAATGTCAATGAGGAAGACCTGACACTATAAAAATCTTCGAAGCAAAGCAAGGAAAAGGCTTTGTAACATTGGCCTTGGCAATGATTTCCTGGATGTGACACCAGAAACAGGCAACACAGCAAAAACTGCCGAGGGGGGCTACTGAAGAAACTGCCCAGGAGAGGAAGCAGCCAGCAGGGTGGAAAGAGATCTGAAAACCCGTGTCTCAAGAGAGGTCGGGGGCCGGCGCTGTGGCACAGCCGGTTAAAGCCCCGGTCTGCAGTGCTGGCATCCCATATGGGCCCTGGTTCGAGTTCCAGCTGCTCCACTTCCAATCCAGCTCTCTACTGTGGTCTGGGAAAGCAGTGGAAGATGGCCCGAGTCCTTGGGCCCCTGCACCTGCGTGGGAGACCCAGAAGAAGCTCCTGGCTCCTGGCTTCAGATCGGCCCAGCTCCAGCCGTTGCAGCCAAATGGGGAGTGAACCAGAGGATGAAGACCCCCCCGCCTCTCTGTAACTCTACCTTTCAAATACATAAAGAAATCTTGAGAGAGAGAGAGAGAGAGAGAGAGAGAGAGGTTATGATCTGATATATAAGGAACTCCTACAACTCAGTAAAAAAAACGGAGCAGTCCAGTTCAGAACAGGCAGGGGGCCTGGAGCAGCCAGCCCAGGGCTGGGCGTGGCCTCTGAGTTCCCCTCCTCCCAGCGTGGCAGAAAGCAGACTTGGCAGTTTTTTGCTAAGCGGGAAGCCAGCCGGCGGCCCCTCTCCGCAGCTGCCTCTCTGGCAAGTCGGCAGAATCTGCTGCAGTGAGGCCCACGGCCAAGGGCAAGGCCCCGGCCATCAGCAGTTCTGTTTATGCTTACTCGTGTTTCTAGCAATGATGAGACGTCGGGGAGGAGTTCATGGACAACATCCGTGGTCAAAAACTGCACGGAATCTCGAGGTTTTGACACAAGAAGGAACTTATGTTTCACTCCATTTTTCCATGAACTTAAAAAAAAAAAAAAAAGATTGAGGCCGGCGCTGTGGCGTAGCAGGTAAAGCCGCTGCCTGCAGTGCCGCCATCCCATATGGGGACCGCTTCGAGTCCCAGCTGCTCCACTTCTGATCTAGCTCCCTGCTATGGCCTGTGAAAGCAGTAGAAGATGCCCAAGTCCGGTTGGTGCCGCGGCTCACTAGGCTAATCCTCTGCCTGCAGCACCGGCACCCCGGGTTCTAGTCCTGGTCGGGGCGCCGGATTCTGTCCCGGTTGCCCCTCTTCCAGGCCAGCTCTCTGCTGTGGCCCGGGAGTGCAGTGGAGGATGGCCCAAGTGCTTGGGCCCTGCACCCCATGGGAGACCAGGAGAAGCACCTGGCTCCTGCCATAGGATCAGCGTGGTGCGCCGGCCGCGGCAGCCATTGGAGAGTGAACCAACGGCAAAAGGAAGACCTTTCTCTCTGTCTCTCTCTCTCACTGTCCACTCTGCCTGTCAAAAAAAAAAAAAAGTGCCCAAGTCCTTGGGCCCCTGCACCCACGTGGGAGACCAAGAAGAAGCTCCTGGCTCCTGGCTTTGGATCGGTGCAGCTCCAGCCATTGCGGCCATTGGGAAGTGAACCAGCGGATGGAAGACCTCTCTCTGTCACTCTGACTTTCAAATAAACAAGTACATTTTAGGGGAAAAAAAGGTTTATTTATATAAAAGGCAGAGTGACAGAGATGAGACAGAGATTGTCCATCCACTGGTTCATTCTCCAAATGCCTGCAGCAGCCAGAGCTGGGCCAGGCTGCAGCCGGGAGCCTGGAGCTGCACGGGGCCTCCCACGTGGGCAGGCAGGGGCTGCATCCACGCAGGAGCTCGTCCTCCGCTGCTTCCCAACACGGTCAAACTGGAGAGAGAGGCCACGCGCGCAGCAGGCGCCTGGCAGCGGTGCAACTACACCGGGCCATGGACACGCACACGCGCAGACACGGGCCCGAGGGGCCTCCCAGGCGCCGGCGAGAGCGCGAAGGGGGTCTCCCCTCTCCCTCCACCAGGCGCGGGCAGACGCCCACCGCCCGGTAAAGGCCACCTCAGTGCAGGAGAGGCGGGGACGGAGTGGGAACCAGACCCGGGGCATCGGGGCGGGGGCGCACGCACAGCGGACGCCCACGGCCCAGAGACGGCGCCCGGGCGGGGTCCCAGGGCGGCGCCGGGGAAGGGGAGGCCCGCAGAGGGAGCCCCAGTGCGCGGGGGGCTCTGCGGGCGGGGCGGGGCTGGGCCTACAGGGGCAGGAGCCAAGGAAAGAAAACCCGTGACGCGGGGGAGAGGACCCGCGTGCGGGGCGCGGGAGGCAGAACCTGAAGGTGGAGCGCAGTGTGGACTAACGGACTCGGCTCCGCCACGCAGACAGGCGTTAATGCAGGCGCGGTAGAAGACCCCACATCTCTGCGGGGAGATGCCCAGGCCAGGGAGCCTTCGCCCGGGGAGCCTTCCCCCGGAAAGGAACCGGCCAGACTGCATAAAGCAAGCCAGTGATTCTTTTTTTTTTTTTTTTTTTTTGGACAGGTAGAGTTATAGACAGTGAGACAAAGACAGAGAGAAAGGTCTTCCTTTGCCGTTGGTTCACCCTCCAATGGCAGCTGCGGCCAGCGCACCGCGCTGATCCGAAGCCAGGAGTCAGGTGCTTATCCTGGTCTCCCATGGGGTGCAGGGCCCAAGCACTTGGGCCATCCTCCACTGCACTCCTGGGCCACAGCAGAGAGCTGGCCTGGAAGAGGGGCTACCGGGACAGAATCCGGTGCCCCAACCGGGACTAGAACCCGGGGCGCCAGTGCCGCAAGCAGAGGATTAGCCTAGTGAGCCGCGGCGCCGACCCCACAAGCAGGTAATTCTATCATTGCCACCAGGAGAAAAGAAATACCTAAAAGCAAAGTAAAAACCTCAAAAATTTAAATTTATTAGTATTACTATGAACTCATGATATAGTGTCTCATTAAAAAATAAAATTTCAAAATTTTTAATTATTTATTTGGAAAGCACAGTAACAGAGAGACGGGGCGGGGGCGAAGAGAGAGAGAAAGAGAGAGAGAGAGAGAATCTTCCCTCTGCTGGTTCATTCCCCAAACGGCCACAACAACTGGGACTGGGCCAGCCGGAAACCAGAAGCCAGAAACCCTATCCAGGTCTCCCATACGGGGGGCAGGGGCCCAAGGACCTGGGCCATCTTCTGCTGCCTTCCCCAGTGATTCAGCAAGGAGCTGGATGGGGAGTAGCCAGAACTTGAACCAGTAACCCAGTATGGAATGCTGGCATCACTGTGCCACAATGCCAGTCCAAAGGACTTGGAAGCCAATCTGAAGATGATGTCAATAACTTGAGAATGTCCAATATGAACTTCAAAAAGAATAAAGTCTAAAGGGGCAGGTGTGGGGAGGCAGCAGGTTAAGGTGCCCCTGGAGGCACCTGTCCCCCATGTCGGCGTGCCTGGATTCCAGTCCCAGCACCTGTGCTTCTAACTCAGCTTCCTGCGGGAGCCAGCACGAGATGACTCAAGGACTTGGCTCCCTGCTACCCCACAGGGGACCTGGATGGACTTCCGGGCTCCTGGCTTCGGACTGACCCAGCACTGGATGTTGCACAAGATTGGGAAGTGACCAAGTGGACAAAAGATGGCTGGATCTCTGTCCCAGTCGCTCTGTTGCTCTGCTTTTCAAGTAGAGGGAAATAACTAAATAAAATACATGACGGGATCTATGAGTTCATAATGAACCTAAACAAAATGAAACTTTATGGGCTGCCAACCACTGAAGGCCGACAGTTGATGATGATCTTCTGTTCAGAATCCAGGTAACAAATGAAGAGGCTGAGAAAAGTCAGAATCCTGTCCAAAATGGGCTGAGCTGTGTCCCCAGCTTCCAAGCTTGCATGTGTCTCACTAATAAAATCTGAACCCTAGGACCTCAGAAAGTGGCCACATGTGGAGATGGAGGAGGCAACGAAGGTCATGTGAAGGTCATATAAGTAGCCCTCATAAAGCCACCACAGGGACTGCACCCTAACAACCTGATCACTTCTCAACACTGTAACTGCATTAAACATCCACCCTCTTAGTGCCATTAAGACTTTGGTGAACAGGCACCTCTGGAAGACACCCAGACCAACAGCCACCCCTTCGTAACTCCTAATGAAGCAACAGAACAAGGCGATGGCTGCCGATGGTTGCTAAAACCATCAGGAGAAACTATGGAGGCTCTCCTAGTAACACCTAAACTGGGTGGTCGACTAGCACGTTGCAAAGACACATGGAGCACCTGGGCACAGACATACACCAACCACCTGGAGAGTTTTCTTGCCCTCTCCCTCTCCACAAAAAAACCAAAAAACCCAGAATCTGATCAAGCTTCTCAAGCAGAAGAGGAATACCATGTTCAGCAACACCACAGGGAGGCAAATGGCTAACACCAGCCTGCAGTGAGCTCAACAGGGCAAGCGCCTGGCTTTCTTCACAGCAAAATTGCTGGGGAGAAAAATCTACAGATTAACAGATATCACAAAAAATTAAATTAACTCAAAATGGGTTACGGAACTAAATGTTGAAAGCAAAACTGTAAACCCCTAAAGACAGCACAAGAGAAGATCTAGGTGACCTTGGGTTTATTCACAACTTCTGGTCTACAACCCGCAGAACACCATCCATGAGACCAGAAAACGGTGAGAAGTTGGACTTCATTGAAATGTAAAACTCTGCTCTGTGAAAGACACTGCTAAGAGAGAGGAAAAGCTGCAGACTGCAGGACATATTGGCAAAACGCCCCTCAGATAAAGTGGCATCCGACACACAAAAGAAGCCTTAAAACTCAGCACTACAATGAAGACACAGAAGAGATGGATGGACTCAAAGCCACGTGTGGGTCTGGGGTGGATCGGATTCAAACTCTAAAACACAGGGAAATGTGAACAGGAGCCGGAATCCAATGACATTAGGGAGTTGTAGGTGTGACGACAGTTTTGTTATTAATTTTTTTCTAGGAGCTCTTTCCTGGTGGGGTGATGAACTACTTATAAATGAGACACAAATAAATAAGTCTTTAAATAAATAAATAAATGAGACACAAACCCTGACGTCTGGGGGCAAACAGGGATGACCACTGGTGAGATTCACCAGGGGGGTACCTACCGCAGACTGGCTCTCTACTTACATGAAGGTGGAAATGTGCCATAATTAAAAAAAAAAAAAAAAAGGCAGAAATAACAGCAAAACTACCTGGTTGAGTCCCTAGGTCCCCTTGTAGCCACGCCCAGTGATAGTGGCCTTTCTGCTTTTGTGGGGGGGGGTGGTCAGGAGGGTCCACAGGCGGCCCGACCACTCTGCCTAGCACTGAGGACAAACTCAGCCCATGTTTGCTGAGCAGATGGGGTGGGGGTGCAGGGGTGTCTGGGGAGAAGAGAGCGGACTCTACCCACGGAGTGGGGGGGCACTTCTCCAGGAAAGTGATAGCCATCTGGGCCCTGAGAGGCAGGAAGGGCTGGGGACGCGGGCTGGTGCGTGGAGGGGGCGTGGCCGCAGCCAAGGGCAGCTGGTTGGCTATGATGAGGACTTCAAGACCGGGGTCCCCAGGCAGGGGGGTGAGGGGGACGCACAGGGTGGGCGGCACTCACCCTTCCACTCCAGGTTGCCGCGGCCCCTCTCCAGGTGCCCCAGCAGCCGCTGGGGGCAGGAGGTGAGCAGGAAGGTTCTCTCCTTGCTGACCGCCTCGGCCTGCTGCTGCCACCTGGTGCTGATCCGCAGGGCCTCGGGCCACTCCCCAGCCCAGCTGCCCTGCTTGGGGTCGAAACTCATGAAGTCCTCACCGTTCAGGGCGAACTTGGCTGTGGGCACCGAGGCGTTGTCTGGGCCCAGCTCACAGCCCAGCAGGCCCTGCAGGGTGTAGGAACCTGGCGGGGGCACACACTCGGGTCAGCAGGCCCGGGAGCCAGCCCCCAGCCCCTCCCGCAGCCCAGCCGGGCCAGCCTCACCTTCCCCCAGCACTTCGAGAGCTTCCAGAAAGAGCTGCTGTTTGTTCTTCAGGTCCACGGTCTCTTTCTCCCAGTACCAGGACACCTGGCTTTCCCAGATCCAAGCCCCATAGGGCTCCGCCTCCGACCGCCTGTTGCTGTAGCTCAGGTACTGCTGGGGGCCCAGCCAGCCGGACACAAAGAAGGAGGGAGTCCCCCCATGGGGGTCGGTCACGGCCGTGATGTGGTACAGGAGGGAGAGATGGCTCCCTGTGGGGACAGACGGAGGGGAAGAGAGCCCATGGTGGGGGCACCTAGACTGGGGTGGGGTACAGACGGGGGGGGGACCAGAGAGAGGGGACAGAGACCCAGAGAGAGGGGCAGAGACCCAGAGAGAGAGGGGACAGAGACCCAGAGAGAGAGGACAGAGACCCAGAGAGAGAGGACAGAGACCCAGAGAGAGAGGGGACAGAGACCCAGAGAGAGGGGCAGAGACCCAGAGAGAGAGGGCAGAGACCCAGAGAGAGGGGCAGAGACCCAGAGAGAGAGGGGACACAGGCCCAGAGAGAGAGGGCAGAGACCCAGGGAGAGAGGACAGAGACCCAGAGAGAGGGGACAGAGACCCAGAGAGAGAGAGGACAGAGACCCAGAGAGAGAGGACAGAGACCCAGAGAGAGAGGGGGCAGAGACCCAGAGAGAGAGGGGACAGAGACCAGGGAGAGGTGACAGAGACCAGGGACAGAGGACAGAGACCCAGAGAGAGAGGACAGAGGCCCAGAGAGGGGACAGAGACCCAGAGAGGGGACAGAGACCCAGGGAGAGGTGACAGAGACCAGGGAGAGGGGACGGAGACGCGAGGGCAGGGTGGGTACAGGGATCAGCAGGAAGCCGCCGAGCGGGGGGAAGCGCCGGGCTGGAGGCCTGGGACCCGGCTCCCCTCGCCTTCGGCGCCGCGGCCTCCTCCGCGCGCGGGCCTCACCTGCAGCCAGGGTCCCGGGAAGCAGGCAGAGCAGGAGGCGCAGCGCGCCGGGCAGAAGCCGGGGGCGCCCCATGCTGCGTGGCCGAGCTGGGGCGGGAGGGGCGCGTGACTGTCGGACCCCGCCCCGCCCCTCCCCGGGGGCCCGCGCCTGGGGTCCGGGGCTGGAGCTGCGGAGGCCGCCGCGCCGGCCACTGCGTGAACTTTCGCCCCGCGGCGGGAGCGGCCGGGTTAATGAGTGACCGGGCGGCGGGGCCTCTCCCGAGCGGGGCCGGCCACCCCAGCGCCGCAGCCCGGACCTGCTCCCGTGACTGCAGACCCCGGTTCCTCTCTCACATCCTCTTCCCAGGCGTCTGCTCCAGCCCCACCCCCCGAGCCGGCGCGGCGCGCCTCGCCCCTGCTTCCCCTTGCAGAGCGCGGGCCGGGGAGTGGACGCAGCGCCCCCTACTACGTCCTCGGCGCCGGCCCTGTCCGCGGACAGGGCGGCCCGTGGAAAGGAAAAAGTACGCTCGGATTTCCAAAACTCTGCACGGGACGACGCGTCTTTAACTGCGCTTTGCTGGGTGCCTCAGCTTGCTCCTGGAGACCCCTCCCCAGGGACCCCCCCCCCCCCCCCCGGCTGCCCCTGGCCCCGGTGCCTCCCAACTCCCGGCCCCGCTGGGACTTCCACAAGCACACACACTTCCCATAAGCTGCCTTCTTGGCTTTCTTTTCAAACTTGCATTTATGACAGACACAGATCTGCCATCTGCCGGCGCATTCGCCAAATGCCCACAACAGCTGGGGCTGGGCCAGGCCAAAGCCCGGAGCCAGGAATTCCACCGCGGGTGGCACTTGTGTGCGCCGCCTCCCAGGGGAGGAGCCGGGACTCCACAGGCACTGCCCGCCCGCACGCATGCCGGCGGCCCCTCCGGGCACCCAGGGCCGGCCACCTCCTGGAGAGCAGGGACCGGGATGCGGCAGAGGTGCTGCTTCGAGTGCTCACCGCTGCGCAGGGCTGAAGCCGCAGGGGAGAGGCCCTTCCTGGCCGGTTGCAGCAGTCTCCGGCTCGCCTGCACCCCCCACATCCTTCCTCTCCCTCCACCCCCCTGCGGCTATGTGGGGTGCCCGCAGGTGGGCCAAGGTACTAGCACCGGCAAAGTCCTGTCTTTTCTTTCTTTCTTTTTTCTTTCTTTCTTTCTTTCTTTCTTTCTTTCTTTCTTTCTTTCTTTCTTTCTTTCTTTCTTTCTTTCTTTCTTTCTTTCTTTCTTTCTTTCTTTCTTTCTCTTTTCTTTCTTTCTTTTCTTTTCTTTTCTTTTCTTTTCTTTTCTTTTCTTTTCTTTAAGATTTATTTACTTGAGAGGCAGAGTTACAGAGAGAGAGGTCGTCTGTCCACTGGTTCACTCCCCAGATGGCTGCAACAGCCGGAGCTGCGCTGATCCAAAGCCAGGAGCCAGGAGCTTCCTCTGGGTCTCCCATGTGGGTGCAGGGGCCCAAGGGCTTGGGCCATCCTCCACTGCTTTCCCAGGCCTTTAGCAGGGAGTGGGATCGGAAGAGGAGCAGCCGGGACAGGAACTGGGATGCTGGCGCCACAGGCAGCTCGGCCCTGTGGGAGGCCCTGGTGGTCTCCCAGTGCACTCCTAGGGCTCCATGTGGCCCCTCCCTGACCTGGGGTCCCCGGGGCTGCGCAGGACCCTGTAGGAGCATCCGCAGGGGCCGGCTGAGAGGTGGCTGGGTGCTCCGGGCAGGGCGCCTGGTGCACAAGGCCCCTCATGCCAGTTTCAAGGTAGTGCGGGCAGAGGGCTGCACGGTCGCCGCTGCTCTCCCCGGCGGCGTCCGGGTACCGTGATGGTCCCAGGCTCTGCCCAGTGCCAGGCTGCGGTTCAAGTCTGTGGGTCCCACGAGGCCACAGCCGCTCAGAGCGCAGGCCCTGGGCGTCTCGCTCACTCTCCCACGCATCCCCAGGGACAGAGCGATAGAAAGGTGTAGAATAAATGAATGCGAGAATGAATGACGCTGGGGTGCATTCTTTTTTAACGATTCATGTATGTAAAAGGAAGACAGGGCAACAGGGAGATTCTTTGGTCTTCTCGTTCACTCCCCGATGGCTACAAAAGCCACGTCTACCCTGGTCTCCCAACTAGGTGACAAGGACCCGAGTACTTCTGGGCCACCATCTCCGCTTTCCCAGGTGCATCGGGAAGCCGGCTCAGAAGCGGAGCAGCCGGGACTCCAACTGGCGCCTCAGCGGCGGCCCCCGGGCTGCGTGGCTGTGCCCCTGAGATTTCTCTAGAATGTCCGTGTGCCCTGCTGGAATGTTCTAGAAACAACCTGTCGCAGAGCTGGGGCCGCAGGGTTTTCCTACACTGGACCCAGGGCAATGCTGGGATGATGGCTGCAGGGGGGTCTGGCACAAGCACATGCGCTGGGGACGCCTGGGGCGCCTGCACCCCGTCTCAGAGGGCCTGGGCGTCCAGCTTCCTGCTAACGCACTCCCTGAGAGGCGGCTCAAGTGCTTGGGCCCCTGCCACTCCCACGGGAGACTCCTCCCCGCTCTTGCCTTTGGCCTGGCTGCACTGGGGAGTGAGCCAGTGGATGAAGATCTCTGCCTTTCACATGAAAATACGAACTTTAATAGAGAAAGAAGCAAGCTCACCACAGCTCAGACCTTGGGTCCTGTTAAGTGAACCCAGCTCGGCCAGGCATTGTGGTGCCGGCACCCAGATCGGAGTCCTGGCCGCTCTGCCTCAGACGCCGCTCCCTGGGTCACCTGGAGACACAGCCCTGGCTGGAGCAGCCGTCCTGGGAGTGAACCAGCAGACAGAAGACCTCCCTGTGCCTCAGATAAACAAAGTGCCTGCTGTCCAAACGACCTTCCACCCGGCCCTGCGCTAGGCACAGTGCCACTTGCTACTGCAAGTCTGCAGGGCCTGCCAGCATCCATGACCACCCGCGGGCCAGTCTGGCCGGAGCCCTCTGTCCTGGGGCCTGCTGTGGCAGGTGCAGGGCCAGGACACCGCCCTGTTTCCAGGCCTGGACTTGATGCTGCCTGGAGCCAACTTCCCTGTGCAATGGAGATGCCCCGGGGCTCTGTGGCAGGCATGCCATGGGATAACCCGGAAACTAGGACACTGGGCAAGATGGCCCCGGCCTCCGCTGTCGTTGGTCCCCTGGAGCCGACATCACAGGGCAGAGCCGGCTGTACCCTACGGTCCCACGTGAGCTCGCTGCACCCTCCCCACAGCGCAGGGAGGCAGGAAACCATTTCACAGATTGGGAGAGGGAGGCTGTGTGGTTAGGGTGAGGGTGGGTCCCTTAGCCAGCCCGCGAGCCACGGGGCAGAACAAACGACCTTCTGGTTTCCAGCACTGCAGAAAAGCCCGGGCCCGAGTCTGCCCAGGACCCAGCAACTGCGGGGGAACGAGTTCATTCACCCAACAGGGCGTCCTGCACCCGCACCTGCCGGCGGCGCGACACCTGCACCAGATCCTACGGCAAATGCAGGCTCCACCTGCCCCGGCCCAGGCAGGGCCCCTGGACGCTCCGAAGAGGCTTGGTGAAGAGGAAGGAGATGGTGAGGGAGTGGAGGCGGGGGCTCGGCCCTCCAGGCAGAGGGAACAGCGCGGGCCGGGGGCTGCAGCTGAGGGGCGGGGGCTGCGGCTGTCACTCAATTCCAGCCAGGAGCGATGGCTGAGCCGCACGCTTCCGGGGCGGGAGCTGTCACCGGGATCGCTCCCCGGTCTGTGGCTCCCGGCGGGGACCCTCCGGGACACGCACCAGGCTTCCAGACCAGGTAGCCCGGGACCCCGGGCAGGAGCGGCGGGGCCGCTGTCGTAAACACCGCGGCCCCTCCCCAACGGAAACACCTGCGGCCGACCCCAGCCACTGGGTGGGGTGCGCGCGCGGGCCGCAGGCTGGGCGGCGCCCCCTGACCCGTCCCTGCCCCTTCCTGCCCCCTGGCTGGCGGGCCACTTCCTCCGGCAGGAACCCCCGCCCTCGCCGGGCTGGGTAAAAGGCGGCGTCGCGGGCGGTGGGCGACGGCCGCCTCGGCTCTCTCCTCTCGGCCCTGTCTCCCAACCCTCGTACCAGTGCCGCACCTCAGACCCTGGTACAGGCATGGGGGGCAGGGACCTGGGGACCCCAGCGCCGAAGCCAGCGGACCGCGCGGCCCCACCACCCGCGACGCTGGCTGCTCCCAGGGACCACAGGGACAGCCTGCCCCGGGGAGCGGGGTGGAGGGGCTCCCCGCTTCCCCTCTCAGGGTGCAGGAGACCCCGGCTCCAGCGAGGGGACAGCTGCTGCCCCTGCCCCGGGCGCCGAGGGGCGGGGCAGCCAGCCATACTGACCCAGCCCCCGGCGGGCGGCAAGGACCGGGAGGCTCACCCTGGACCCCAGCCCCGGGCAGCCCCCCGCCCCCGGTAAAGCAGAGACCGCAGGCCAGGCGAGCGAGTGGGAAAATGGCTTTATTTGTGTGGGGAGCGGGCGGGCGCGGGCCTCAGAACTTCTGGAACTGCTTCTTGGTGCCGGCGGCCTTGGTGACCTTGAGCACGTTGAAGCGCACGGTCTTGCTGAGCGGCCGGCACTCGCCCACCGTGACGATGTCGCCGATCTGGACGTCCCTGCGGGCGGGCGGGCGGGGGTCTCAGGGGGCCGCCCAGGACCCCGCGCACGGCGGAGCGGCATCCTCCCCGCGCCCCTGGGTCAGGCGCTCACCGGCCGCAGGTCCGAGGGAGGCCCGCCCTCGGCGCCCCTCCCGCGCCCGCCGCAGCCCCCGACCGCCGGGCCCGCGCGCTCACCGGAAGCAGGGCGACAGGTGCACCGACATGTTCTTGTGGCGCTTCTCGAAGCGGTTGTACTTGCGGATGTAGTGCAGGTAGTCGCGGCGGATGACGATGGTTCTCTGCATCTTCATCTTGGTCACCACGCCTGGGGGGCAGCGGGCGGGTCAGGGGTCCGGCCGCCCGGCACAGCCGCCCGAGACCGTCGCGAAGCCCCCTCCCCGCGCCCCGGCCCCTCACCAGACAGGATTCTGCCCCGGATGGAGACGTTTCCGGTGAACGGGCATTTCTTATCGATGTAGGTGCCCTCGATAGCCTGGGGGAGGGGAGAGAGCCTTGGACGAGCGGCCCGGGGGAGCAGGGGGCGTGGCCGCCCCGCGGGGGTGGGCGGGGCCGGGGCCCCCAGCCTCGGCCCCGGGGTCCCCGCGCACCTCCTTGGGCGTCTTGAAGCCCAGCCCGATATTCTTGTAGTAGCGCGGGAGCTTCTCCTTGCCCGTCTCCCCCAGCAGGACCCTCTTCTTGTTCTGGAAGATGGTCGGCTGCTTCTGGTAGGCGCGCTCGGTCTGCAGGGGTGGACGGAGGCGGCCGGTGAGCCGGGAACTCGGGGGGCCCCAGCCCCGCCGCCTGCAGGGCTCGGGGCCCGCTCCTCTCCCAGACACCACAACGACGGGCGCCCGGCTGGCACAGGACCAGCCCTCGAGGCCCGAGAACCCCGAAAAACCCACCCACCCCGGCACTGTGCGAACGCGGGAGACCGCACTCCACTCCATGTGCGCGGCCCCCGGGCCCGGGGCGGCGCTCGGCCAGGCGGACGCAGACGCACGCGCGCTCCCCTCAAGCGGATCCCTCGTCACCGGGCTGGCCTCCGACCGGGGCGCGGGGCCCCCATCCCGGACGGAACCCCCTAACCCAGGAGGCAGCCTGGAGACCATACCTGGATGTCCGCCATCTTGCCGGCCGCCTGAAAAAAAAGAGAGCGACGCCGGCGTCCGGGTTTCCTTATGGACTGAGCAGGGGCCGGAGAGGAAGTGACGTAAGGGGCGGGGCAGCACTCTGATGGACAGGGGCCGCTCACCAAGCCCGCGAGTTGGGAACTGCGCCGACGCGGCCGTGATAGGGCCGAACTGATGCGGGAAGCTGCGGACTCTCGCGAGAGTCTGGCACCAAGCGCGTTAGTTCAGGGTGGGAAGGCGTGGCCTGCATGGAGCCCGCCTGTGGTATCGCGAGAGTCAGAAGGAGGCCGCCATGTTGCTGGAGGGATGCAGCTTCACGTGGGATTCGGGTCCTCATGGTTCTGCCCCTGGGAGCTCCCTGGCGGAGCTGGCGGCCGCCATTTTTTTGCTGGGTGGGCGACCCCCAGGCAGGAGGCCCCTGTGTGGCTGTAGCGCTGCCATCTTTGAGAGGGGCGGGGTTCCCACGAGCTTCCGAGAGTTGAATGGAAGCTCCTCGTGCGTCCCCGTTTTGCTTAGGGGGGACTTAGCGGTTGGTCCGCGCTGCCGTCCTGGGCGCTCCGCGGTCCGGCACGGGGCTGCTGGCGCTCGAAACCTGCCTCTGGCTTCTCAGGTCCTGGGTTCCTAAGCTGTAGTCAGATTCAAACCGGAACTGCCCCGTGGGGCTGACGGCCGTGTTGGCTGGGGGGTCACATCGCAGACGCCCACCTGGAGGCAGTGGGCGCCCCGACCACTGCGGGTGCCGGCTAACGTGAGCCGGCGGGGGAGGGGAGCCGGAGCCTGCGGGCCGCCGGCCGTTTCATTTTGGAGGATTTTGAGAGAGAGCTGGGCCCGTCCACCGGTCCGCTGCCCAAGCGGGGTGGACGCTCCTGGCCGAAGTCCCCCAGGCGGTGGTCGGAGCCCGAGCACCCGGCCGTCAGCCACCGCCCCGAGGCAGGCCCACGTGGGCTGGGAGTCCAGGTCCGACAGCGAGTCTTGACCGCACTTCCGGTTCTGAGTGTGAACCTGAGTGACCGGGCGCGGGCCGCGGGCCTGCACCTGCGGGGCCGGGAGTCGGGATGGGGTGCGTGCCTTCCTCTCCGGTGTTTGGGACGCTGTTCGGTGTGACTTTGATGGTGAGGGGAGAAAGTGCCTGACTCCGGGGGGCGGGCCGTCTGGAGGCGCAGGGAGCTGCAACACCGGCCTCCTCCCGTGTGCTCACTCCAGAGGACTTCTTGACCTGCGGCTGAGCACTGGGTGCAGGAACAAAGCCCAGTGGCCTGGTTATCGTCATTAGTGGGGCCGCTCCCGGCCTCCTCCACGCCGCTGGGTTGGCCAGCGGAGACCAGGGCGGCCCTCCACGGTCAACTCCGCGCTGGCCTGGGCGGCTGGGGGAGTCCCTCGTGCTTACTGGTTAAGACCCCTTGGTATCACTGTTGGCCAATTGATCTTGTTCTTTGTATCGGGATGCGTCTTTCAAAACTAGCTACACCTGGTAAAATCCGCCTCCCCATCTGACTTTCTGGATTATTGAGGTCCAGTGTTACATAGCCCAGTTACACACCACTGACGGGAAGGTCGGGCCCTGGTGCTCTCGGCAGGGCCCCAAAATTCTCCCATGAAGTACAGACTTGTGACTCCTACCTCGCTGTTCCCAGCCTCTAGGGAAGCCAGGGTACCACAGGGCCCGGAGCCCCGCCCCCCAACTCCCCAGGCGCACTGGGGCAGAACAGAGGCTGTGACACCCTTTGTTCCAGGCCCCATTACCACTTGCAAAACGCCTAGGTCCCCACTCCCACAGGAAGCGGCCCTGGCCTGGAGCAGCCGGCGCCGGCGATACTTTGCAGCTGGGTTAGAATGGCCCTGGAGCCGAGTTTGATGGAGAAGGGCGGCGCGGCTGCCGGTGAGCGCCGTGCACAGACTTGGCTGCCTCGCCAAGCAAGGGCCGTCTCCACAGCGACACATAGCAGACACCACGTTTGTTCAAAAATAATTTATTTGCTTCTGATCACAACGCAGGAAGTTGCGAGGGCTGTGGTGTGCCCCGCGGCTGCCCCCTTCCTGGTCTGCACCTTGTACAGGGGCCCAAGCCTCTGCTCCCATTCTAACAGCTGCAGAGTATGGGCCAGCCAGACCCACTCCTGTCCAGGGTGGCGCCCCTCAGCTGGGGCCAGCCCCTAGAGCTGCGCCCTGCAGCGGCCACTACGCCCTCGCGTGCCCAGGAGGCGATGGAGGAAGGGCAGCCAGGCTGTGAGGAACAAAGTCTTTATTGTGCTCAGACCAGGAGCCCGTGGGTCTTGAGGACGTCCGTGAACTTGCTGATCTTCTTCTCCACGTTCTTCTCGGCCTGCTTCCGGAGCCTCTGCGGGGTGACGGGTGGTCAGGGCCGCTGCGGGGGCCCCCTGCCCCGGGGACGGAGGCCCACCCCCTCCCAGGCCCTCACCATGAGCTGCTTCTTCTTCCGGTAGTGGATCTTAGCCTTCTCCTTCCTCTTCTCCTCCAGCGTGGCCGTCACGGCCTGGTACTTCCAGCCCACCTCATGGGCCAGGCGCCCCAGGTAGGCAAACTGAGGGCGAGAGGCCGAGCTGTAGGGACAGCAGGTCCTGTCTCCCACGGCCACGCCCGCCCGCCCGCGCCCCTGCTGGCATCAGCTGAGCCATCGGCGTTGTCGGCAGCGCCCGCGGCCTCCGCAGACCATCGTGAGAAACGACATCATCTGCCAGCGCGCCCGCTCCCCGCCCGCCCCGCGCTCACCTTCCGCGTGGGCTTCAGCCGCACCACCTTCAGCGCCGCGGGCACCACCATCCGCTTTTTCTGTCGGGAGAGACGGGGGCTCAGGGACGCGGAGCGGGGGCCCGGGGCCCGCGGGGCGGCGCGCAGGCGTCTCAGCCGGTGCTGGTTTCACGGGGCTCAAACAATGTAGGTAGTGGACATCACGGACGCCGCGGCGGGGCCTGCGGGGCGCGGGGCCGCTCACCTTGTCGTAGGGCGGCGGGATCCCGTCGAACACCTTGAGCCGGTCGAGCGCGGCCTGGCCCCGCTTGGTCTTATGCGGCAGCATGCCTGCGGAGCACGGGGCTGGGCTCAGCGGGGCCGCGAGGGCGCCCCCTGCAGGGGGGGCTGCGGGGCCTCAGATGGTAGTGCATGTGGAGTCATCTCACGGTCGCGAGACTCGAACACGCGTGGATAAGTGCTCATCACGGGCCGGCGCCGCCCCCCGCCCCGACGGGCCCCCGCTCACCTCGCACGGTCCGCCAGAAGATGCGGCTGGGCGCGCGGAAGTGGTAGGGGCCCCGGGACGGGTTGGTGTTCATCCGCTTGCGGAGGAAGGCCAGGTACTTCACTGCGGGCGGGGGAGAGCGTGAGGCCCCGGCCGCCCCGCGTCCCGGCCCGCCCGGCCCACGCCCCGGCCGCCCCCGCGCCCCCGGCCGGCCCACGCCCCCGCGCCCCGGCCGCCCCCGGCCCCGGCCGGCCCACGCACGCTTGTTCCTGTAGAAGTTGCCGGAAATGTTGATGCCCTCGCAGCGCACCACCACCACCTTGCGGCCTGGGGGAGAGAACACGTGGCACTGGGGGCCGCGCCGCCTGCGTCCCGGGCGCGGGGCGGGAGCGGGCACGCCGGCGCCCTGCAGGTCTCAGAGCGGTGCATGGGGTTGATCTCACGGTCGCGAGACTCAAACGAAAGATGGTGACTGCTGCTCATCACGGACCTCGGGCCGCCCCGCGAGCGCTGCGGGCACGCACTTACCCAGCAGCACCTGCTTGGCCACGATGGCCGCCAGGCGGCCCAAGAGGTGGCCGCGGCCGTCCAGCACCAGGACCTGTGGACACAAAGGAGGGCTCAGAGGGACGAGGCGCCCCCACCGCACGTCCGCAGGCAGGGGCTGGCTTCCGTCTACGAGCAGCCGGCCCCATCCCCCAGGCCCACGCTGGGCGCTGCGGCGTTCGGAGCTGGGGTTCGAACCCCGCCCACTGCTCGCCCGTCCATTTGCAGAATCAAATGGGGGGACCTCATAGGATGGGGTTGAGCCGAGCTGTCCGAGGAATCGGGCGCAGGCGATGGCTGGGATGCACCGAACGTGGTCACCCCCAGCCTGACCTCCCGCCAGGAGCCTGGCCCCTGGCGCTGCTCAGCCAGTGGCCTCGGCCAAACCTCGAGGGCCCGGATGACCGCCCTCCACCCCAGAGCCTCGCTTTCAGGGTATCCACCGCCCCCCAAATCACCAACACCCGGAGGTTCCTTCCTGCGGGCCCCGAACACCAGGACCCTCCCGACCGGGAGCCGCGAGGACCCAGACTGGCGCTCCTGCGCGAGGCCCAAAAACCTCCCCCTCGGCTCAGCCTCAGCTCGCCGCCCCGCCACACGCGTCCGTGAGCCATCGCCGGGGCCACGCTCGGGCCCCATACAGCCCGGCCCCGTAACGACGCCGCCGTGACCAGCCCTCGACTCTCGCGCCAGGCCCCCTTTCCCCATTTCGTCCTATTATTGACCTTAAGTCTCACAGCACACGGGAGAGTGGGTAGCAGCTCCACCTCCGCTCCGTTCTGGATCCCCCCCCAGCCCCACGCCGCCCCGGCCCGCTAGGAGCCCGCACCTGCCCCTCCGCCATCTTCGGCAGCTGCCTGGGAAAGAAGGAAGCCTCGCTGCAGGGTTTCTTATCCCTCCGTACAGGGGCGGAGGAAGTGACGCAACACGGGCTACGTAACTGCTTTCTGTCTTTTTATTGGCTACAGTGTTACGCGCGTGCGTAGAGATGCCTCAGTGGAAGGCGGGTCGTTTTCTGGCTGTCCAATCCGGGCGTCGCTCCGGTCGTCCGCTGCTGTGAGGGGCTGGAGGTCACGTGGGGCGTGGAGGCGCCTCTGCGGGGTGGGGCGGCCCAGTGTGGCAGCCATGTTTTTGAGGGGCTCCGTCCGCCCTGTTTGTGAGGGGACGCGCCGGCGCCCTGGCTCCTCCGCCCGTCCTCCTCTGCCCAGGCCTTCAAGCGGCACGCGGTGCCCGCAGGGGGCGGCCCGCCCGCCAGGCCCGCGCTGTGGGACCCCGGCGCTCCCTGCAGGCTTAGAGCCCCGCGCTCCGTGGGCGGGCGCCCCGCGGCCCGGGGCTCAGGCGCAGCCTCCCGCGGGCGCCGGGCGCGGCCTCCGTCCCGAGGGCAGCGCGAGGGGCTCCGCCTCCGGTCCCGGCCGCGCGTCCTCGGCCCCGCGGCTCCTCAGCGTCCTGGCCTGTGGAACGGGGACGGCGTGTCCGTCTGTCTGTCCGCCGCGCGCGCCGCGGGAGGGCCGGGCCCAGGGCGCTGCGCGTGGCGGGAAGGGGGGGGGCTCGATGTGTTACTTTTCCCGAAATAAGTTGTAATTTTTAAAAATTAAGTTAGATTAAATATCCCATGGCCGGCGCTGTGGCGTAGTGGGTAAAGCTGCCACCTGAAGCGCTGGCATCCCAGGTGGGCGCCGGTTCGAATCTCGGCTGCTCCACTTCCGGTCCAGCTCTGCTGTGGTCTGGAGTTACAGACAGTGAGAGACAGAGAGAAAGGTCTTCCTTCCGTTGCTTCACCCCAAAATGGCCACCACGGCCGGCGCACAGCGCTGATCTGATGGCAGGAGCCAGGAGCCAGGTGCTTCTCCTGGTCTCCCATGGGGTGCAGGGCCCAAGCACTTGGGCCATCCTCCACTGCACTCCCGGGCCACAGCAGAGAGCTGGCCTGGAAGAGGGGCAACCGGGACAGAATCCGGCGCCCCGACCGGGACTAGAACCCGGGGTGCCAGCGCCGCAAGCAGAGGATTAGCCTAGTGAGCCGCGGCACCGGCACCCCCTTTTTTTTTTTCAATAAATCTTTTAAAAAATAAATCTGTGTCTTCTCTCTGTCAGCCTTTCAAGTAATCTTTTTTAAAAATAAAAGTGGTTGCATGTTGAAGTGACAGCTACACTGCTGTAATCACACATTATTAAAATTAACTGGTTTAGCTGAGTTGCATGTGGGCTGCGGTCAGTTCCCCAGGGGCAGCAGGGCTCTCAGGGCCCGGCTGGGCCCCCTCACTCCCGGCGGGGGGCAGGGGGGCTATTCGCAGAGCCTTTGGTGCGTTAGAGGAAACCGGGAAGCAGAGGGCAGGGCCTGGAGGGGGCCAAGTCCCAGCGCCCCGGGCAGCCGGGTGGCCCCTGGAGCCCGAGTGGCCTCTGCGCCCTGAAAGGCAGGGCAGCCATGGCAGCGCCTTGCTGAGGGGCCAGAGGCCGTTCGTGCAAAGCCCCGGCTGCCTCCCGCCCGGCCTCCCCCTGCGGAGGCCTGCGATGCCATCACACCCCGGGGCCCCCCAGCTCAGCGCCTGTCCCCCGGCCTCGCTGCTGCACCCGACACTGAGCCAGGCCCAGGGCCCCCTGTGCCCGTTACACCTCCAGGCCGGCCAGACGCCCACCCTGCCCCTCCCAATTCGCTCCCCTACTCCACCACACGTGCCAGACCCCGCCGCCCTCAGCCAGGCCTCCCAGGACCCCTAGGCAGACCCCGCCGCCCTCAGCCAGGCCTCCCAGGACCCCTAGGCAGACCCCGCCGCCCTCAGCCAGGCCTCCCAGGACCCACAAGCAACACCTCCTGGGGGCCCCTGGGGACAGGCAGGGCCTGGGCCACCCCTCGTCCGTCTGGGCCCGCGCCGGCTCACCCGCTCCCCGGGGCAGGGCGTCCCTCGCCGGCGCAGGCACCAGGCAGCGACCAGCAGCAGGAGGGCCGAGGGCAGCAGCAGCAAGACCAGCAGCAGGTGCGGCGCAGGGGCCGGCAGCACCGTAGCCCCCAGGGCCCCGGGACTCCTCAGGGGCAGGGGCGTGGAGGGTTCTGAGGAGAGAGGAGGCCGCGTGACCGAGGAGCAGGGTGGGCTCCGGAGGGGAGGAGGGGCCTGCCTGGCACTGCTGCCTTGATTTCCCCATCTGCAAAGCGGGGAGCCCGTTCATCTTCCCTCGTGAATTAAACAGGGACAGAGAGAACCTGGCAGACAGGAAAGCTTTGTCTAATTGTATGTGTTTATCGTACAGGTTTATTTGGCAGGCAGAGTTACAGAAAGAGAGGTCTTCCATCCACTGGCTCGCTCCCTAAATGGCTGCGATGGCTGGGGTTAGGCCAGGCACAAGCCAGGAGCCAGGAGCTTCTTCCGGGTCTCCCACGCGGGTGCAGGGGCACAAGGACCTGGGCCATCTTCTATGCTCTCCCAGGCCACAGCAGAGAGCTGGGTCAGAGGTGGAGCAGCCGGGACTTGAACCGGCACCCATATGGGATGCCGGACTGCAGGCCATGGCCTACCCCGCTGTGCCACAGTGCCAGCTCCAAGATGAATTTTATTTTAAAAATGTATTTGAAAGGCAGAGAGAGTGAGTCCCATGCGCTGGTTCAGTCCCTGATGGGCACAGTGGCCAGGGCCTGAGCTGAGAGCCCGGATTCAGTCCAGGTGCCCCCGGTGGGTGGCAGGGACCCAGCTCCTGAACCAGCATGGCCGCCTCCCGGGAACTGGGTGCTTAACCACTAGGCCACACGACCACCCGTGTTTTCCTTTACGATTGAACAGCTGCGTCTCAGAGCTCTGTCTTCCTCCCTCCGTGTGGGGGAGGGACATTATCTGTGCTGTGCATCGCCGGAACCTCCCAGCTGCCCGGGAGCAGGCGTGTGGCGCGGGGACACTGCGTCCCGTCGGAGAGCCCGCTCCGATCCCGGCCCCTCCGCTTCCGATCCAGCTTCTCGCGAATGTGCGTCTTGGGCCCAAGGGCTTGTGTCCCTGCCACTCACGCGGGAGGCCCGGATGGAGCCTCGATCACGCAACATCGCCCACTTCACTCTGAGCGCCGGGCCGGGTGCCCTCAGGAGCGCCGTCGTCTGGTTGCGTGGGGTTTCCTTCCTGGCTCAGGTTAGCCCCAAGTCTGCATGTTCCACGCTGGGTCCCCAGTGCCGTGGACATAGAATACGGGTTAATAAAACTTGGTTGACTGGGGCCAGCGCTGTGGTGTAGGGGGCTAAGCCTCTACCTGCAGGGCCGGCATCCCATATAGGCGCCAGTTCGAGTCCTGGCTGCTCCACTTCCAGTCCAGCTCTCTGCCGTGGCCTGGGAAAGCAGTAGAAGATGGCCCAGGTCCTTGGGCCCCTGCACCCGCATGGGAGACCTGGAAGAAGCTCCTGGCTCCTGATCAGCCCAGCTCCAGCCACTGCAGCCATTTGGCGAGTGAACCAGTGAATGGAAGCTCTTTCCGTGTGTGTGTGTGTGTGTGTGTGTGTCTATTCCTCTCTTTATGTAACTCTTTCAATAAACAAATCTTCTTAAAAAGTTTTGTTTCTCTGAAAGACTGAGTTACAGAGAGGCAGAGAGAGAGAGTGAGATTTTCCATCTGCTGGTTCACTCCCCAATTAGCTGCAGCAGCCGGAGCTGGGCTGATCCAAAGCCAGGAGCCAGGAGCTTCTTCCGGGTCTCCTACGCGGGTGCAGGGGCCCAAAGACTTGGGCCATCTTCTGCTGCTTTCCCCAGACCACAGCAGGGAGCTGGATCGGAAGTGGAGCAGCCGGGACTAGAACTGGCGCCCATGTGGGGATGCTGGCACTGCAGGCGGCGGCTTTCCCCACTGCACCACCACGCCAGCCTCCCTCCTGTCACATCTAGATGCCTTATCCCCCTCAGTGTGACGCACATGCGTGTCAGCCGTTGCTGCCCTGCACTGTCTAGGGACTGCTGACGAGGAAGGAGGTTCGTTCGGTACAGACGTGGGATTCTCTTTCTTCCTGAATATTCTCAACCCCCAGTGGGATGGATGGGGGGAACCCACGGACACCCACAGCTGCGCGCGGCGCCGGGCGGCTGGGCAGCTCCGGGACTGGAGCAAGGCCAGCTTCCAGGTTTGGGTTTCAGAGCCCAGTTCCTGCGAAGCAAGGTCCAGCGCTGGGGAGACGGCGCAGGAAGCAGTCTGGCATCCTCTGATGGCTCCCGGAAGTTCACCCCCGTGAACTCCTACAGACGGACGGCGGCCCCACGGCTGAGATGCCTGCGTCCGAGCCCTGGCTGGACCTGCATGGAGTCAGCCAGGCGGGAATCCGGGGGGACTGAGCCAGCAGCTGGGGGCCCTCTCTCTCTCTCTCTCACGCGCTCTCTCTCTCTCTCTCTCACTATCTCTCTCCAATGACTGGCCAGCTGTAGAAGCGCAGGGGAGGAGTGGCAGGTTACGCCAACACTGGGCTGGACGCCTGCACCCCCGGAGCAGAGCACTGGTCCCCGTCCCGGCTCCTCCGCGTCCCAGTGCAGCTCCCTGTCAACGCGCCCGGGAAGGCGGCAGACGGCGGTGCAAGTGCTGGGCCCCTGCCACCCAGGCGGGAAGCCCAGAAGAAGCTCCCGGCTCCCGGCTTCAGCCTGGCCCGGCCCCCGCTGCTGCAGGCAGGTGGGGGAGTGAACCAGCAGATGGGGCATCTCCCCCCCCCCCGTCTCTCCCTGTCTCTCTCTCTCCCTCCCTGTCTCTCTCCGTCTCTGTCTCTCCCTGTGTGTCTCTCTCCCTCACTCTCTGTCTCTCTCTCCCTGTCTCTTCTTGACTCTCTCGCCCTCTCCCTGTCTCTCTCTCCATCTCTGTCTCCCGTCTCTCTCTCTCCATCTCTGTCTCTCTGTCTCTCCCTCCCTGTCTGTCTCTCTGTCTCCCGTCTCTCTCTGTCTCTCCCTCCCTGTCTCTGTCTCTCTCCCCGTCTCTGTCTCTCCGACTCTCTCTCCCTGTCTCCCGTCTTTCTCTGTCTCTCTCCCTGTCTCTGTCTCTCCACCTCTGTCTCTCTCCCCGTCTCTCCCTGTCTCTCCCCATCTCTGTCTCTCTCCCCATCTCTGTCTCCCTCCCCGTCTCTCTCTCCCTGTCTCTCCCCGTCTCTGTCTCCCTCTCTGTCTCTCTCCCTGTCTCTCTCCCCGTCTCTGTCTCTCCATCTCTGTCTCTCTCCCCGTCTCTGTCTCTCCATCTCTGTCTCTCTCCCTGTCTCTGTCTCCCCGTCTCTGTCTCCCCGTCTCTGTCTCTCTCCCCGTCTCTTCCTGTCTCTCCCCATCTCTGTCTCTCTCCCCGTCTCTGTCTCTCTCCCCGTCTCTTCCTGTCTCTCCCCATCTCTGTCTCTCTCCCCGTCTCTGTCTCTCTCCCTGTCTCTCCCCGTCTCTGTCTCTCCCCGTCTCTGTCTCTCCCCGTCTCTGTCTCTCTCCCCGTCTCTCCCTGTCTCTCCCCGTCTCTGTCTCTCTCCCCGTCTCTGTCTCTCTCCCCGTCTCTCCCTGTCTCTCCCCGTCTCTGTCTCTCTCCCCGTCTCTGTCTCTCTCCCCGTCTCTCCCTGTCTATCCCCGTCTCTGTCTCTCCCCGTCTCTGTCTCCCCGTCTCTTCCTGTCTCCCCGTCTCTGTCTCCCATCTCTGTCTCTCCCCGTCTCTGTCTCCCCGTCTCTGTCTCTCCCCGTCTCTGTCTCTCCGACTCTCTCTCCCTGTCTCTGTCTCCCCGTCTCTGTCTCTCCGACTCTCTCTCCCTGTCTCTGTCTCTCCCCGTCTCTGTCTCTCCCCGTCTCTGTCTCCCCGTCTCTCTGTCTCTCCCTGTCTCTGTCTCCCCGTCTCTGTCTCTCTCCCCGTCTCTTCCTGTCTCTCCCCGTCTCTGTCTCTCCCTGTCTCTGTCTCCCCGTCTCTGTCTCTCCCCGTCTCTCTGTTGCTCTGCCTTTCGTGTAGATGACAATAAACGTGAGTCCACTTGTGGGCTTCCATCCTCTTTCGCGAGCACGACTCCTAGGACACTGAAGCCCTGGCTCGCCGTCTCCTTCTCTGAGCGGGGCCACCTCAGAGAAACAGGCAAGGAGTACGGGCAGGCCAAGGTCCAGAGAGGGCGGCGAACCTGCCCAAAGCCACAGCGGAGGGGGCAGGGCGAGCCCTCCGCCCGGGGGGGGGGCTGGGGGCCCTTACCCGGCTGGCACTGCAGCTCCAGGCACCGGGAGAAGTTGCGGCGGGTGATCCAGGGCTTCAGTGCCAGCAGCTGGGCGGACGCGTCCTGCAGGAGGTGGGAGATGTTGGTCCGGACGAAGCGCAAGCAGCTGGGGAGGGGCTGGGACCGGGAGGGAGACGGCGTCACCATCGTCACCATCGTCACCTTCGCATCAGCCCGGAGCCCCTCCCTGCGGGCACCGCCCAGCCACAGGCCTGGGACACACACACACACACACACACACACACACACACACACGGCCCTCTGGGAGGCGCCTGTGCCCAGGGCCCCCAGCCAGGCCCTGACCCTCTGCCAGTGAGCCCTGGGGCCGGGGGGCCGGGGCTCCCGCGCTCTGCCCCACCTGCCGGCGCGACTCCAGCACGGCCTGGGCCAGCTTGGCTTCCAAGCCCTGGGGAGGCCCAGGGGCCCCTCCCTCCTTCCCGGGACCCCTCCCTCGTTCCGGGACCCCTCCCTCGTTCCGGGACCCCTCCCTCCTTCCCGGGACCCCTCCCTCGTTCCGGGACCCCTCCCTCGTTCCCGGGACGGGACGCAGGCTGACCTGGAAGGCGCACGAGGTGACGAAGTAGACCTCGGTGTTGACAGCCTCCAGGAGGCCCTGCATCTGGGGCCCAGCCACGGTCTTGAGCCGCTCCAGCCAGCGCTGGGCCAGCACCAGGCGCCAGAGTGCCCTGCACAGCTCTTCCTGCGAACACACCACATGCCAGGGTCTGAGGGAGGAGGCTGCGGCTGGATGCCAGGGTCTGAGGGAGGAGGGGCTGGGGCTGGACCCCAGGGCCTGAGGGAGGAGGGGCTGGGGCTGGACCCCAGGGCCTGAGGGAGGAGGGGCTGGGGCTGGATCCCTGGGTCTGAAGGAGGAGGGGCTGGAGGCCTGGGCTCCCGGGTCTGAGGGAGAAGGGGCTGGGGGCCTGGACCCCAGGGTCTGAAGGAGGAGGGGCTGGGGCTGGGCTCCCAGGTCTGAGGTAGGAGGGGTTGGGGACCTGGACTCCTGGGTCTGAGGGAGGAGGCTGGGGCTGGACCCCAGGGTCTGAGGGAGGAGGGGCTGGGGCTGGACCCCAGGGTCTGAAGGAGGAGGGGCTGGGGCTGGATCCCTGGGTCTGAGGGAGGAGGGGCTGGAGGCCTGGACCCCTGGGTCTGAGGGAGGAGGGGCTGGGGGCCTGGGCTCCCGGGTCTGAGGGAGAAGGGGCTGGGGGCCTGGACTCCTGGGTCTGAGGGAGGAGGGGCTGGGGCTGGACCCCAGGGTCTGAAGGAGGAGGGGCTGGGGCTGGGGTCCCAGGTCTGAGGTAGGAGGGGTTGGGGACCTGGACTCCTGGGTCTGAGGGAGGAGGCTGCGGCTGGATGCCAGGGTCTGAGGGAGGAGGGGCTGGGGCTGGACCCCTGGGTCTGAGGGAGGAGGGGCTGGGGCTGGACCCCTGGGTCTGAGGGAGGAGGGGCTGGGCTGGACCCCTGGGTCTGAGGGAGGAGGGCTGGGCTGGACCCCTGGGTCTGAGGGAGGAGGGCTGGGGCTGGACCCCCGGGTCTGAGGGAGGAGGGCGGGGCGGGGCTGGTCCACTGGCCTGGTCCCTGGAGGGTGGTGCGTCTGGAGTCTGAGGTTCCCACCTCCAGCCCAGGCCCCTCCCATGGCGACTCACGTCCTGCAGGTTGGAGGCCACGGTGACGGGATAGTCCTGCAGCAGGTAGTCAGACTGGCGGGGAGGGAACAAGAGCCGGCTGGACACAGCGCGACAGAACTGGGGCGACTCGGGGCGGAGGCAGAGACCCGGGGCCGGCCGGGGAGCACCCAGCCAGCCTGCAGAGGGCGGGTGCGCAGCTCACCAGCTTGCGGATGGTGACAGCGAAGTTGGAGGAGATGGGGCTGTGGGCGAAGGAGCAGTCGGGGGTCCCGCGGAGGCCGGGGCTCAGCAGTAGCAGCAGCAGCAGCAGCGACTGCGGGGGGCGTTGTCTGAGGTCTGCGTGCGCTGACCTCCTGCCCGTCCCCTCCCAGCCCCCCGGATCTCGGCGCGCGCCCCACGCGGCTGGGGCGCGCCCCTGCCCTCGCCGGTGCTGGCGCCCCGCGGCTGCGCCCTCCCGCCTGCCGCACCTGGCTGCTGCGTTCCCCTTGCCCCCACCTTGGGCCCAGGTATACGCACGGTCGGGCTCCAGGCCGGCGCCGGCACGGTCATCTCGGCCGCGGGCCCCTCATGCCTGTGGCTGGGTCTTGGAAGGGACAGAAGCGCAAGTCTGGGACAGCCACCCGCCTGCCCTTTCTTCGCCCGCCCCGTCCCCCCGCCCCGCCCCTCCCTCATCCCCTTGATGTGGCCGAGTTTCCGCCTCCTACTCCCCTAGGCTTCCTGCGTGAGCCCCAGTTTCGGTGAAAAACCCCTCATCACCCTTTCCAGGAACCCCGACGTCCGGCCCCCGGAACCCTCCCACGGCCGGGGGTCCCCTGCTCCCTCGGTCTCAGAGGTGGGCCAGCCCCTCGGGGACTTCGAGTTCCCCCACGCACCAGGCTTGCCCCGGCTTGGGTGTGGGAGGGTCAAGCTGGGTGACAGCCAAAGACCGAAAGCGAAAGGAAATTTTGGGGGGGAAGATGGTGAGCCAGGGTGGAAATAGGGCAGGGGCGGAGCGCGCCCCCTGGTGGTGACATCTGGAGCCCGCGCCCGGCACGGAGAGCGGACCCCGGGAGGTGTCTCTATCTAATCCTAGCTGTAGCTAAGGCACGCAGCAGGTCACCCTGCACAGTTCACCTTCGCCTTGACGGCTCTCCATTTTCCAGCCCCAGCAGCTGGGACCAAGGCAGCCACCCTCTCCACCCCAGGGCCTCTGGACACACGCCCACATGGCTCACCCCTCCTCTCGCTGGGGTCTTTGCCCCAACACCCATGGCAAAGCCTTCCTGACACCCCCTTTGCAAGTGGTGGCCCCTCCCGGCACTGCTGCTCACACCTACTCTGAGCTTATCACCTTCTTACACACCGCCACCGGGGTTGCGTGTCTTTATCTTTTTGTCGGTTGCTGCCGTGGGCACACATCCATCTTGATGCTGCTAAGCTCGTGGTGGCAGGTGTTCAATGAGCGTGCAAAAGCGTGCTGACCTTTCTGATTATGGTGTAATAGAGATAATGTTGTTCTTGGACCACACCTGAGCTGATAGGAGGGCAGGGACCGGCCGTGCCGAAAAGACGGGCGTGAGGAGGGAGGGCTGGGGTTTTGAGCCAGCTTCACCGTGGACGCTCGGGGGGAGCTCCTCTGTCGGTTAGTCTCTAGGAAGGTGTGCTGCTTCCCACCCCGCGGGGACAAGGGCAGGGGGACAGTGGGCCCTCCGCATTTGCACATCCAACCGGCTGGGTCTGAAAATATTCAAGGGGCGGCGCTGTGGTGCAGCAGGTTAAGGCACCGCCTGCAACACCAGTATCCCACACGGGCGCTGGTTCAAGCCCCAGCTGCTCCCCTTCCAAACCAGCTCCCTGCTAACGCACCCAGGACGGCAGTGGAAGTACTCAGGCCCCCTGCTACCCACGCTGGGGACCCGGATGGAGCTCCAGGCTCCTGGCTTTCGAGCCTGGCCCAGCTCTGGCTGTGGCAGTCACTTGGCAAGTGAACCAGTGGCTGGAAGACCCCTCTCTCTCTAACTCTGCCTTTCAAATAAACGACTCTTTAAGTAAAAAAAAAAATTAATATTATTTGTGTCCTGCACGTGCGTGGACTTCTGTTCTCGTCCTTCTTCCCTCAACAGTACAGGGGGACAACCACTGGCACGTCTTTGCGGGGTATTGGATGTCACAAATCAGAGACAGGGAGAGGGCGTGCACCGGGTCCGGGCAAACCCTCCGACCTTTCTGTACAAGGGACCCGAGCTCCCGCGGACTGCGGCATTCACGGAAAGTCCTGGAGCTGATCCGACATGGGTGGATGACTGTGTCCGCAGCCCTCCCAGACCCTGCCCCCCCGGCCCCGGTCTGTAACCTTCAAGACGAAGCCGTGGCTGTGGACACAGGCCCCGGGAGCCCCAAAGTCCGTGCCCAGTCGGTCAGCAGTGCAGGTGGCCCCCCACGCCTTGCTGGCATCTGAACTGCGGGCAGGCTTGTTGCACCTGCTCTGTGCCCTGACCCCGGGCCCCAAATAAACCTTTGAACAACAGAAACACCATTCTGGGGCCCAGAAGTTCAAAGTCAAGGAGTCACGTCAGAAGGGCCATGACAGCGCCGGCATCCGTTATGGGTGGGCACCAGTTCAAGTCCCGGCTGCTCCACCTCTGGTCCGGCTCCTGCAAATGTGCCCGGGAACGCAGTGGAAGATGGCCCAAGTGCTTGGGCCCTGCACCCGCGTGGGAGACCCGGAAGAAGCTCCTGGGTCCTGGCTTCGGATCGGCTCAGCTCCGGCCGTTGAGGCCATTTGGGGAGTGACCCAGCGGATGGAAGACCTCTCCATCCATCTGTAGCACCACATCTCGAATAGATGAATCAATTCTCCCTTTAAGGGCCTTGCCCCCTCTCAGGCATTCCTTGGCTCGTGCCCCAGGGCCCAGCCACCATTCCTTTCTGCCCTCTCCACCTCCCTCGTGGCTCAGCGTGGGTTACTGTCCTGGCCACGACCCCCGGTCACTTTGTGATTGTCCTCTTGTTTTCTGTCACTCTGTGTGGGCAGAAAAGGCCCCAAGGCCATCCCCGTTCTAATGCCCGGAACCTGTAACAATGTGGCCTCGCATGGGGGGAGGGACGGGGTCAAGGGGATAAGATCAAGGGTCCGGAGTCGGGAGATGACCACATGTCCCCCGGGGGGCTGGCACTGCAAGGGCCTTTGGGAGTGGCAGAGGGGGCAGCAGAACCAGAGAGGCCACTGTTGGCTGTGAGCAGGCCCTGAGCCAAGGGGTGCCCGTGGCCCACAGAAGCCTGGAGCTCGCCGAGGCCCAGGGCAGGGACGCCGCCCGGCCCACGCCTTCACCGTGGTCTCCTGACCCGGCAGAGGTCTGCTGAGGGGGAGACCAAGAGCCCGAGGTCCCCCACCCGCTGGCTCACTGCCAGATGGGGCGCCGGGGCGGAAGCCAGCAGCCTGGCGCTCCACCCGGGGCCCAAGCGTGGAGCTGGACCGGAGGCTGGGCGGCCGGGCCTTGGATATGGACCGTGGGCGTTGCAAGCCCAGGCTGGACCCATGGTGCCACAAGGCTGACCCCTGTTCTCTTTAAACTGCTTGGCTTGTGGTAATTTGGCACAGAGCAGGAAACTCCTCCCCAATTCCCGCAACCTCAGCTCCCAGAGACCAGCTCCGTCCGGTCCTCCAAACGCCCAGCCCAAAGCACCCAACCACCAGCTGTTGACTGACGGCCAGGAGCATGGCCTGTACTGGAAGATCCCGCCCCTGGCCAGGGATTGGGCCAGAAGCGGTCACCTGACACGGGCTGGCCAATCGGATTTGGCCTCCAGGGGACCGGACGGACAAGGCCGGAGCCGGCGTGAGGGTGGAGGCGAAGGACGCTGGCGGCCCGAGGAGTCCCGGGCGGCGCCGTCACAGACCCTGTGCTTGCGGAGCCGCCCAGCGGCCACTGAATGTCCCAGCGAATGGCCTGGACCCGGCCTCCCTCCCCGCACGAGCGCAGCCGGGGTCGGGCAGACATTTATTCGCGGCCTCGGGGGTCACAGCACAGTCCCAGACGTCCGCGGTCGGTCGGCGTCCAGCTGCTCAGTCGCAGGCGTCAGTCCCCCGCGGGCAGCCACAGGGCCTTGGTCCGCGCCGCCCGCAGCCCCAGCTCCGGGCCCGCGCCCTCGGCCTCCTGGTCCCAGGCCCGTGGGTGGCCCGCGTTCGCCCACACGGCCTTGAGGTTTCCTGCGGAGGCCCACTCGGCGAAGCGGGAGCCCTGCGTGGGGGTGGGGGGAGACGGCGCGGTTGCTAAGCACCTGCGTCCTTAGCAACAAGGGCTGCGACCCAGGAGAGACCCCCCAAGGCTCTGCCAGCTGGGGCGCGGGGCTCCTGCGGCCGGGGGGTCTCCTGCCCAGCAGCCACCCACGTCCAGGGGAAGGGGCCCTCGCCGGCACGCACGCTCCCAGGCGCCACCAATACGAGGCTTCGGAGGTGCACCGTGGCCCCCACCTGACGCTGGGGTGAGGCCCTCCGTGAGGGGCGGCGACCTCCGAGCCTGCTCCCACGGTGTTCCCCCTCTTAGTTCTCAGGGGGCTGGGCCGCCTGCCCTAACCAGGAGCTTCCCCCTCATCCAAGCTTATGACGCCCGAGGGAGGGACGAAGGGTACCTGGGCAGATCCGAAGTACCACAGGGCCTGGATGTCCTGGTGCAGGGCCAGGCAGCGCGTCAGGTGGTCCCGGTCCCCTGTCACCACGTTCACAAGGCCCGCGGGCAGCAGGGTGGCCATATCCTAGGGTGGGGGGCACGGGCTGGTGATGCTGCCCGTGCTGGGGCTGCGAGGGTGGGACCCAAGCCCCTGCAGGTCTCCCGCACCTCCCGGGGGCTGCTGGGAGCAGGGGCCCGCAGGCAATGTTACCTGGCAGAGCTCCAGGGCCAACAGGGGGCAGGCCCCGCTGGGTACCACGACCAGGGCGTTGCCATGGGCCAGGGCGGGGGCCAGCAGGGACACGAAGGCAAGCAGGGGCCACTCTTCCGGGCACACGATGGCCAGCACGCCCAGGGCCTCCCGCAGCCGGAGCACTGGGCCTCTCAGCCCGGCCACCTGCAGGGACAGGAGCGGGGAGGGGCCTGACTGCTTTCCTGGCCGGCACATCTTTTCCTTTTCGTAGTGTGAGGGCGGCTCAGACACCCCAGCAGCCAGCTTGGGGAAAGCCGGTGACGTGGCCGGTCGGCCTGGCCAGGAAGTCGGATTTACCGCGAGGGAGTTACTGCGGGCACACCAGGCAGCCTGCAGGCCCAGTGGGCCTCGCCCTCATTAAGGAACCGCCAGCCTCCTACCAACGCCTCGCCTCGCTCAGGCCCCTGGCGGGCGCAGGGGTACACAACCACCTGTTCCCCACTCTTCACGACAAATTCACGCCTTCGGGCGCACCTGCCATTCCAGGCCTGGCCCCTACCTGCCACGTCCTCGTGGGCCCAGCCTCCCCTCTGCACTCAAAACCCCCAGGCGGCCCACGGCTCGTGAGGCCTCGGCCTCTTTTTCTTAAAGAATGATTTAATTATTTGAAAGTCAGAGTTATGGAGAGGGAGGGAGGGAGAGAGAGAAAGGTGTCCTCCATCCACTGGTTCACTCCCCAGATGGCTGCAATGGCCAGGCCGGGTCAGGTCAGGAGCCAGGAGCTTCATCTGGGTCTCCCCTGAGGGTGGCAGGGGCCCTAACACTTGGGCCATATTCCACAGCTTTCCCAGGCCACCAGCAGGGAGCTGGAGTGGAAGTGGAGGAGCTGGGATTTGAACCAGCGCCTGAGGAGTGCCTTGCTGAGCTCGGCCTGGGGCCACTTCCTGTGCTCGCGTGTTTTCTCGTGAGAGCTTTGCTGAACGTATCTGACACTCAGTGCCCTGCCTGGTTTCACCGGGAACGCGCACCCTCGTGCGGTCATGAACCCCGCTCCCACTTCTCGTGCCCTTCGTCACGCTCGCCGTGTCCCAGGCAGCCCCCGCTTTCCTCTCTCGTGCACCCCGTCACGTCCCATCAGGCACTGCCCGACTCCTGTTTACAGTTCCTAGGAGTCCTTCAGACACGGAGACAGACACCTGCACTTAAAACATAAACCTGGCCCCTTAGCGTGAGCACTCTGGGGTCGCCCACGTGGTGCCTCAGGCCCGCGGACTACAGATCCGGGCGCCATCTCCTGTGCTGCCCCAAGCAAACGCCTTCTGAGTCCCGGACGGCGTACGAGGACGCCGGGCGCTTCCAGAGCCGACGACCGGCTGCCTTGGCTGCACCTGTCCCGGGCGCCCCTGGGGCGCGGCCTGAGCCGCCAACCCTCGGCCTTGCCCGCTGTCCGCTGCACGCTCACGTCCGCCTGGCGTGTGCGGCAAACGAAAGGCACGGAGGGATGCCTTGCGTGATGCACTCTTGGGACTGTCCGGTCCGTTTGTTTTGATCCCCATTTTTTGTCTGTCTGTTTAAAGGAGGAGATGCCTCCGTGGCAGCCGAGTAACTGATTTTATGGCCCAGGAAAGAACAGGACGGGTCCCTAACCACAGACTGGAAAACACCGCAGCTGGCCCTCCGTGAGTGCACATTCCACCGCTGTGGCTTCAAAAACACCGGGGCCACAGGTGCCGGCCTGCATCTGACCCCTGCCGGGGCGCCCGGCTTTGGCCTTGATTCCAGCTTCCTGCCAGTGGGCCCCTGGGAGGTGGCGGGTGACTCAAGCTGTGTGGGGGGAGACCCACGCGGCGTTCCTGGCTCCAGCCACAGCCTGGTGTAGCCCTGGCCATCGTGGGCACTCGGGGAGCGAACCAGTGAATGGGGGCTCTGTCTGTCTCTGTCTCTCGAATAAAAAAAAAATTTGCAAACAGATTCCGGAAAATCCCGACAGCTGCACTGCACACGCAGGCCTTCTGGGCCCTTGTCATTACTCCCTGTGACTCAGCAGAGCCGCCGCCCAGCCGGCACTTACGCTGCGTCAGGAGTTATGGGTCTCACAGCAGCGACTGACAGCGTATGGCAGGACGCACGCACGCCTATGCACACGTGATGCCACTGTTTCCAAGGGGCTGGAGAA